TTCATTTATTTGTTTTTATTCTTACTTTAAATTGTTTTATTGATATGTGCGCCCTAATTTGTTTTCCTTTCACTCAGTCCATGCCAAAATGTCTGTCGTGGCGTCTTTCGCCCTGTGTATTGCATTTTATGCTCTTGATGTAACAACTGAAAGTGTCTATATTTCTATGATTGTACCCGAACATGACTGTGTGAAAATGAATTTTATTTAACTGGAACCTGGAATATCCTACACATATGTTCTGTTGGCGCTATATATGCTGCCAGCATGTGGCACTCTGAAGACGCTAACCTGCGCGCATAGTCCCAATAGCTTTTCCTCTCTGTTTACAATCTATTGACACCATGTGAGGTGAACACAACGCGCTTATATCGCGAGCAACTCGTCGTGGCGCGGGTGACGCGCGCGAACAAAGCTCGCCAGGGAGTGGCTGCGCCCTCTGAAGGCTGTATCGTAAATTCTTTCAACATCACCCCCTCGTTAACGACACAATAGGATGCCTTTCTAGCCGCTATAGTTCAACTGTAAACCAGTTAAGTTACCAGCTGGCTCCTGCATGGCCCAGGATTCCACAAAAAGCTGCTTATAAATTGGGCTCAATGCCCAGCTTGTACGATTTGATGTGGTGGTCGTTAACCACGATGTGCTCACTGAGTGTACTCTTTTGTCAATCGAACTCGCCGACGTCGGTTTTATGTTGCCGCCGGCTCTCAACGAAGTTTTTTGCTTTGTACGCGGTATGGAGTGCACCAGTATATGCGCTTTCCCTTCGGCCAGGCAGCCTGTCTTTTGGGCACGGGCTGTTTGTCGGCAAAGTGACTTGTTGGGCGAGTTGGTTCATTCTTAACGTAGCTTATGGCGCGAAAAAAAAAGCACAAGCGAAAAGGACTCGCGTCAAAAACGACACGAAATTTGAGCTTGTCTTTCTCTCGTTTTTTTTTTTTTTCGCGCCATAAGCAACGTTATGAGTGCAGTTTGTCGTGAAGGATTCCGCAGCTTTCTTCAAGCTTTGTGTGCCGATGGCCCAAAACTTTTCACACGAAGTCGGGGCGTTTCAGAAATTTCTATCCGCGATTTCCACAAAAAGAAAAAGGAGGCGCAGACCCACCGTCACTTTCTTTGTCAAATCCTGCAGGCGGACAGCTGTCCGACGCTGCGCAAACGGAATTCATCGGAGTGTGCAATGGGAAATCAGCACATACCAGACGAAAACGTAACATGTAACGTGACACGGCACTTTACTGAGAAAATGTAACGTAAGTACCTTATCTGTGGTAGTTCTAAGACTGTAACCACTACATTATTAGGTTATGGCAAAAAGTAACGCGTTACCACCAATACTGCACGAACACGGCTGTCGAGTGGCCGTGGTACGAATATAACCTTGCGTGCGCATGGCGTGTTGATGTGTCGGCGTGATGTAATCTTTCGGCTCCGGGTTGCTGCGATGCTGAAGAGGAATTCGGCTTGCGAATTGTACATGTGGTGAGTAGCAAAAATTTCAAGTTCACCACCTCACATGATGCTTTCGCGGCTCCTAATTAACTAACTTCGAAATTCTTGAGATACATTAATGCCCTTCATTGCCATGCAAGAACTTCCAGTTTCTAACCGACAATTTTTATGTGAGCAGGTGAAATGTTTTTTATGAAGTGAATTGCACACAAAAAAAACCCACAAGGATGGTTGATTTTTTTTACGTACAATCTATTTTGCCCTGATGGCCCTCTATGGTTACCTATTCGCTTGGCTCGGTCTTGCGGCTGTGCAGAGGCACCTCCTGTTCACTGCACTCCACTACATCCAGGTCTTCAAGGAGGTTCTTCTGGTATTTCGGAACACTGGACTTGAAAACCAGCTGTAAAATCCACCCACCACATCTTTGGTCATGGAAGCCAGTCTGACCTTCCCAGGTTGCAAAAATAGCGTCTTTTTCTGTGATTTTCTTCATTTTCGCACCATGTCAGTGAGGCGCGTCGTATTTCACCTCTGTTAGCGGTTGATTTTTGGAAGTTTGTTGAACTAGGTTGCACTCTGTTCAGTTCGAAAGGTCAGTTTTCTCCTGTAACATGAATAACGGTCTCTAACTGTACTCGAAATTAAAATTTTACGTAAAATAGCGCCTATATACACACAAATTTTGAAAATAGGCATTGATAGGCACTTATGGGAATCAAGAAACAAACGCCAAAAAAACACACAAACACCATATATAGGCCACATGAAAAATCCTAGAAAGTTTTTCCTTAGCCTCTAACTCTCGTATTCATAAACCTAACTTAACCTTATTTTTATGACTTAAGTCAACCCTAGCCATAAGCCCACGCTTGACGCGTTTCAAGAACCTACCTTGTACTTATCGCGGAACTTTTCTTGTACTTAATTAAGATTTGGTTAAGGTAGCGTACGACCTACCGTAAGGCTTCTTTAAAGAACATGGCGGGTGACGACAACTTTGCGTATTCCGTTTATTATGTGGATCGCAAAGAAGAAATATTGAATGACACAGCGTGCGTGCACACGTCACCACCGCGGCGAGTCCTCAACGATCGACGAAACCTGGTTGAGACCTACGACAAGCAGGAATTGCTGTGGCACCACCGCTTCACAAAAAGTGTCGTGAGGAATCTGCTCGCTGTGCTGTTTCTGCAGGAAAATATCCATTCATGGTCGTGGGTTCGTCGTCACCCGTCTCATGTAGCTGCCAATCGCATCGCGCTATTGTGGCACGCTCCAACTTGGGAGCGATGGCCTTGTCAGTGTCTCGTAGCCGACCGTGTCACGACTATACAGTCGAGCGGACACCAGCTATGGTTGCGATAACACTTTTTTCCGTACCAATAAAACTTCTCAAAGTGGCGCAAGCACTTTTCTAGTTGTTTGGTCAGCTGTTCACGGATGCATATTGGGTGAGCTGTTGAATTACATCGCGAGCTTCTTCCACGTTTTTTTTTTTTTTTGTCTGAAGGCACACGGCGCCCGTCTCGGTACTTGTTCAGGAAACCCGTCAGGATGTAGCCACTTCGTCGGTGAAGTTGTCTTCAGTGCAGCATTCCACAATAAATGCAACTTCTTGAAAAAAAAGCTGTACAACGGTGGAAACTGCCAAATAAATCTAGTGAAATTTCAAAAAAAAAGTGAAATAAAACAACAAACGCTCAAGCGAGCACGGTAACACTACCGAACCAGCAAAGAGATACAAGGCGTCTAAATAACAAAAGTGACCTTCGTCGACGGGAGTTACAGAAAAGTGGCCAGACGAAAAAGGAGTAGTTTACCAAAAGTTGCTGGTGCCTAAACAAACATTGCTACTGTTTTTGTTTGGCTGATTCTGTGCATACTACTGGTGGTTTCTTGGAGGAAAGCTAATTTATTGCTGCTCGAAGTAATAGTTTTGTAACAAAAACGTACCAATCGCACCCAGGGGCTATACTTGACAAGTTAAGGCGCCCTTATGAGAGGATAGGGGAGGTTTCTGAAACGCACCTTGTACTTTTCTTATACTTACACTTTTCTCGTCTTTTCGTAAGTAGCCTAACAGCAATAAGTTAAAGTCGATTCATGCTCATTTTTCAATGTGGCACAATACGAACGCAAAGAACAAATAGGCAATCGCCTAAAATCCAGTCTCTAGTTTTGTCAAGCACTAATGAAAGACCTTTTTCAGCGAGAAAGTTATTATACTCGAAATAACTGAAATATGAGTTCAAAGAAAGTCAACAAAAATTTTTGAAATAGGTGCAGGACTTAAAAAAGGCCATCAGGAGCGCTAACGTTCTCAACATTTGCATCCAGTTCCATCGTTGGCCTTGCTATTGTGCTCTCAAGCGGTAACCATTGTGCCATGAGTGACGTGGTGATCGTGGTATGGTGCTGGTGAGGGCCGCTTTCGCACTTTACAGGCCTGACTATTCTTTGAAATATTAAATGTGCTTTTGTTGCCATTGTTGCGCTGTTTCACATACAGCGTCAAACTTGATGGTTTACAAGCTCGCATACGTGTTTGTGTTAGCAACACATGTACCACTTTACGCGTTCCTCTGGTGAAAAGTTTATGGCTTTTATGATTTACAATGACGTGTTCACAACGCTTTTAAAGTACATGTTCGCATTGATATGATAATCAAGGAATACCATATATCAAGCTAGTTCTCTTATGCACACAAAACTGACATTGGCGCTTTGGGTTTTGTAGGTGGTCTAATGTTTTTACTTGTATCTGCCGGAGAAAACTGCGTTGGTAGATACTTAGTGCAGCAACCTTATGGGCAATAAGTTGCGCATTTAGCATTGAGCAAAAACCAAGAAAGGACATTTTGAAACAAAATCGTTTTTCTCCACAGGGCCTCATAGCATAAAATGTTGTAAAAAGGCCTTTAAAATTAGGGGATAAGCCATCGTGTCATATATACAACTCTTTATTGCATGCTCTTTAAAACGACACGCCTACACAATACATACGCATGTTAAGTATTTTTTCTTGATCTCGCCCGTTGCTACAGCACGAAAAACTGCTTCACCCGGGTTACATGACACCACGTGTCAGTTCCTGCTACTCTGCTTTGGACCTTGACTGTGGCAGCTTCTTCCCACACTGACAGCATAAAAGCTACGTGCCGACGCAAAATCTTCCCCGATGCTGGAATTACAAAGCATCGATACCAGACTGATGTATCTTGAGTGATGTTTTGTGGAAGTGACACCAGCCAGCAACTATACATTGGAGTAGGGTATTGTTGGCACGGTTTCATTATAGCACTCACAAACAGGACTGTTTCTGCCCGCGCTGTTTCTGGTGATGATACTAGACAAGAAACTCGCAACATGACAGTGTCATCACTATCTTCATCCACAATGCTAATGTTACGCTGAAGTTTATACTAGAGTTCATCCGAAGTTTACACTGAAGTTTATCGGGCGGGTGTGGGGTGTTCAATGTAGCGATCATATGGATCTTAAGAAGATGAACTATTAAATCGTAGTGCAACATGGTTATTTTCTCACGTCTTTATTGCATTGAACATCACGCAGTGGGGCTGGTGGCAAAAAATGTGAAACGGTGGTAGACATTGAGGAGAGAACAAAGGTTGAATTATTTATAGACTCCAGTAGCATGTGCAACGCAGAATAACGTAAAAAACTAAAACACGTCAAATTCAGTCTTTATGCGCTAACGTTTCTCCAGGTTTGGCCCGTAATAATCGTGACGTCCCTTTGTATCTCCTCTTTCTGTGCGTAGCGCTTCATTTAATTAGTTATTTTATGAAAAAATGCATTCATTTCAGATTTTGTGCCCGAAGCTTCTTGGTCTTTGGCCTCTTGTAGGTTTTCCGCTCCACCGATTCCTCGTACATGGACGGCGAGAAGTCGGGCTGCAAGAAAACAAGAAAAAAATGTGGCAGATCTTTCCATATAGGAATCGGTATAACACGAAAATGAGACATGTCCTTACAAAGGTAGCTCATCGTTTAATATTCATTGTTTCTGGAACAGCAATGAATTGCAAAATCATGTTGAGAACGGCAAACAGCTCGAAACTTGCAGCTTACGCCTCAAGCAGAAAGCACGCACGAAATTTGCATGTACAGAACGAGTGCAGACTAACAACGGTGACTGTGCGAAACTATATAGCGCGCTGTTCAAACAGAGCGACGCGCGAATAGAGCGCACAAGTATACACAGGACAAGCGTGAGCATCGCAGTTATTCCTGCGTCGTGTGTTTACAGCACGCTCTTTTCGTAAACGTGGACGTGCAGTGTGTGAAGCGTCCTCTCCCGAATTACTAGTCTGATAAGCGCTCGTGCAGAAGAGACCACGCATTGTGGAGGAGTTGCTCCGTGGAGGCATCTACCTTTAGAGCGCGCCCCAACGCAAGCCCGTCGTGCCATTTCGCCACTGATAACAAAAAACGCGCTAAAGTTTTGAAGCTTGGAAGACTGCCGAACGATGTATATTGTACATAAATGACTTGCCGTTAGCGCTACTCAGAACGCACACTTTGTGGCCTAGTAGTTAACGCCACGCGCTGTGAATTGAGAGGTCGCTGGTTCGATTCCGCGCAACAAATGCTTGCTTTCTGTTTTTTTTCCTTCGCAATCTCTTAGTATATTTTCAACGTCACTTGCGTGACGGAAATATGTCAGTGGAACCGTGGTAGATCCCAACATAAAACACTTTCGTATTTCGCACAACAGCGTTTGAATATTTGCAACGGACTTTTGGGCACGCGTAAAAAGAGGCGGGCGCACGGTTGGGGGAGGAGGGACGCTATTTCTAGTCACCTAAGAAGTGGCGCAAAGCCTGCCCCAAGCATTCACTTAATCGGGCGAAGGCGCTGTGACGAACTTTCACCTATGCATGCATAATCGCGTAGTAAGTGTGCTTAAATATCAGTGAGAGAACAAGAAACAGCCAAGGTCTTTCAGGAGAAGACTTATATTTCTGAATTTGTATGGTGAAACTTCTCTATATTGCTGCATCCAATATGCAGCACGAAAAGAACAACGAAGAGCAGGCGCAGCGAGAAAGGCTCTCGCCGTATCAGTTTCCCAGTGCTTTACATAATTGAAGTGACTGATGATTAATTTGGGAGGTTTAACGTCCCAAAACCACTATATAATTCAGCGCAGAAAGTAACTACAGGAGGACGCATAAACTGACAACTATGCTTGATATGATATTACTGCCCGACTGCAATAATACAGACTTGATTGCTGAAGCTCTTACTCCGCATACTGAAGAACCGAGGCAGCTTGTGGCCTAATTGTAGCCTAAATCAGCCAGTAGCCTAATTACGACGCACAACGACAACGACACGTCATCTATCAGCCAGGTGATAAAAAAATCTGGAATCATATCCGCTGACGGGAACTTGCTCAAAAGTTACAGAATGGGCATTTCGGCCCCTTCACAGTTTCATGATGCCTAATTGACGTTAACAACGAAGTCGTTGCGGACAGTTCCTCATGAACTCGTCAGCACAAATAAAAAACATCGTGCATGTTGTGCGAATGAAACACTATGGTTCGGACTGATTTGCTCCGTACGTCTACTACACCGTCTAACAACGAAGGGCATGACGTTCTTGCGCTAATAGTTTGCATGGTGTAAATAAAGTGAGCTGTCCTGCATTATTCTTCTGCGATTTCTGTAGTTTTTTTAGAGGCATTTCATTTGGAATCTAATGATGGCAAGTCACAGTATCTCTTAAGGTAATCGGGCTCTGCATCGTGTGACACTTATTTGCGCAAAGAAGAGCATATAGTATGACCAGAGGTACAGTTCCCCGCTCATATACGGTACCAGCAAATTATGTAACGCTGATCGTGGCCATAATGCAAACGTAGGCGTTGAAGCACTATAAAAGAGAGCGTTATGAAGAAAGGCAGGAAGGTTAGCCCGAAAGAAAATTGTATTTGGTTTGCTACCCTACACTGGGGAGGGGGAATGGGAGACAGAAAAGGAAAACGAAGTTAGAGAGAGAAAGCGGGAGGGAAGCGAAAACACACACACACACACACACACACACACACACACACACACACACACACACACACACACACACACACACACACACACACACACACACACACAGCACACATTCTAGAATGTCACAATCGTTCGACGAGGTGGGTCGATGAGAAAAACTTCAGGAGGGCCTTCGTCGCTTTTCGGCGTGAAGCTTGACCTTCCCGGCATTGCAAAATCACTTTTTCGGACATGAAAGAGAATATGCAATGTGGCTACATTTTCATGGCTCAGCCCTGATGCACCAAATGAGCGTGTACCAGAAAGTAAATTTACGAGTACGAATTCCTAACAAATTAACTTACTAGCTTGAGGTCTGTAAATCGCGGGTAATCATTGCTTGAAAAAAAGGCTTCATTGTTCCCCGAAATATTGCTGGTGCCTGTACGTTTTTTTTCGTTGTTAATTTTTCGGAAAGGATTGAATGTTCACGTGCCGCATCGCTAAGTCAGACTGGTATTTTATCAGCAATGGGTAACCAGACAACAAAGTCAACAACTAATATAAGTGATAGATTTCCTTTGCAGTACAGAACTGGGCATCTGGCTTTAGTGAAATGATTGTGTTACGTGGTTCTTCAATATACGCATAAATTTCGTCTATCCCAATGATCACCGCTCATCACCTTTTTTTCTCCCTGCAGTGTGCAGTACCACTAGTTTAGGCCGACCTTTCTGCCATCCAATAAATTCTCTTTCTGTGTTGAAGGCTGTTATTATAATCGAACTCGAATATATCATACAATAAAAAAAAGGGGGGGGGGGCGGGGAGAAGTTTACAGCAGCCATGTGAAGATCAAGGTGCCGAGCAGGCGGTTGATCTTAGGAGCTTAACGCGGCCTTCCTTCACTGATTTACTAATTTATTCATAATGTCTCAAAGTCTCACGTGTTACCTTACATGAGGGGTGGACGAACAACACAAAAAACTTATTTCATGACTTGATAGTCGTTCACTAATAGCAGCATTGAATTGAGCAATGTCGTTGATAACGGTAATAGTTTGCCGTGGTGCAAGCAAAATTGATTTGAGCCGCAGCCTGTCACATATATTCAAGAATCACCAAACACCAGCACAGAGCTAACGTGCAAAGATGACTTTAGCACCGCGGTAGAATGGCAGGCCTTTCATCACTTGTACTCGGTGCGCACTGCAGGCGAACTCGGCCGACTCGACGGGGCAGCAGCGAGGACTTTCTTCGTCGGCGAGTCCGGCTGATGAGCAATGGCGAGTGATGAGCAACAGTGCGAAGGGTTTTATTGCGATAGGAATAATATGGACACTCATGGCTCGATGTGGCCGCCCGCGCCGGCGTCACCGTCATTAACCGTCATTAACGTATCTCTATATACAGAAACGCAAGAAAGAAATATTATCGAGAAAAAGAATGCGTGGGAGTTGAGAACGCGCCGCCACCTAGTGATGGTGTGGGGACGTGCGCTCACTCTGCCGTCTTGCTGGAAATGCTGAAGACAAAATAGTTCCCCACTCACCCGAGATGCCTGTCACCAGCGGTAATTGGTAGATATAAATAGCTTGCCGTTTGAACCTTGAAGAACGAGCTTCTCGGTGGCTCAATGGTTTACGCCACGCACTCACGTCTTAGGGGTCCCACGTTCGATTCCGTGTGCCAGAGTCTTTCTCGCATTATCTTTCTTTCTTTCTTGCGTTTTTATGTATAGAGACCCGTATACATATACAGTGAGTGACGCTGACGCCGGCGGCAAAATCTAGCCGAGAGTGTCCATATAATTGCTATCGCAGTAACGAAGTCCGATGTGCGGAATCGAACGTCCGACCTCTTTCTTGTGAGTGTGAGGTGTTAGCCAGTGAGCGACGAAGGAGCACCTCGCTCAAAATTGAAACGGCATGGTATTTGTAATTACCGCTTACGGCTTCTGACACCCATCTCGAGGGAACTATCGTGTTTTCAGCTTTACCAGCGAGATGGCGCAACGAGCGCGCGTCGCCATATCAACGCGGCGAGCGAGCGCTCTCATTTCCTGCGCTTACTTTACCCTGCGAATAGGGGAAGTGGGCTGACGCTCATGCGTGCACGCGCTTATCTCGTGGTGGGGAGAATCGTACCCTTGGGCTTTTACCGGGACGATTCTGTTGTAGTTACCGAGCGCACAAAGGAAACTGCACTCGCTGTGCATTGCCCGTTTGAGAAAAAGGCGTGTTTCCAAACACAGTGAAGTAACAACTGTCACTTATTCGCGTTCGTATGTACATATGAGTACGTTTCGTGCGTCATTCATGCGTGAGCAACGCGGGACATGTTTCGATCTGCTTGTCATTGTTCGCGTGGCGTTACATTTTGTCGCTATCGAATTCATTGCTTGGCATATGTGTGAAGCTGTGATTTTTTGCGAACACAAGACGTTTTATTTGGAGCTCCAGGAGCTTTGCTCGTGAAATGCGAATTATCTCGACACAAAAGCTTAAAGAACTTCCAGTATTTTCGGTGCACAAGTCGGCCTGTGACACTGTTTCATAATAAAACCAGACTGGGGGCTCCAGGGCAATACACAGGGAGTTTTTTAGTATTTGTTATTTCTCAGTCATTAGCTGAGAGTGCTGGTGCTATGCAAAGGTGGGTTATGCGCGAGAAATTATGCTATTTGTGTAAAAACCGCCTCACTACTTTTGCTATGTTACAGCACAAGAACTAGTGCCAACTAGCCTGACTAGCCCAGTTCACCGAAGTCAACATGTTCATGCGCGGCCGTTCATGATCAACGGAGAGGAACACTTCTAGTATGTCAAACAATATTCGCGTTGTTTTTAGAAATCGCACTCAGCATCGTTCTCGGGAAGTACCCCGCAGCAACATAAGACTTATCTACGTTCGACTACGTTTATTATCGTCAGGCTCGCACAAAACCGGCAGGTTTACCCGTTTTACAGGGTGGTAAATGTTGAAACTTGACGTGCGATGGCCTGATGGTGGCTACGACGTGGAATTAAGCTTCTGAATAGAAGAGGGAAGTAATAGCTTCTACAATACCTGTGTGCTGACGTCCCAATCACACCACTGACTTTCCCAAATGTGTGCGGCAGAGTCCACTTCCACTAGAGAAAGCCAACTTCTTAGGGTGTTTCACACTGCCCGATATATCACTTGTTCGGACTATTCTTGTTCGATGTAGGCGAAAATTTTCCTATGCTTTGATGTTAAGGCAGTGTCGTGCTAAAAATAGTTGGAGATAAATGATAATTCTGCTTTTTCGGCTGTGTTATAATGGGGTCTGACTCATTCTATAGCCTTGAAAGCCTCCCCCTCTTCCTTTTTGAATGAAAGCGTTACTGCAGCTGATCTGTTTTGTTCACATTAAAAAAAGTTGAAGATTATGTTCTTATAATCGTCTGAGGTTGATACGCACCGACCGCACGGGTCCCAGGGTGGGCGACACGCAACGGGAGCAGAGCGACTGGCCGACGCCATCGTCGAGGCTGACGCATTCGCAGATCTGGCAGTCGGGCGCACTGGACATGGCGACGCGGCGGGACATGACGTCCAGGAACTTCTTGTTCAAGTTGCGCTTCTCGAACATCTTCATCGAGCTGAACAGCGTGCCGTTGCTCTCCAGGGCGAGTGGCACGCAGAAGTCCTTGGGCAGCCGAATCTGTGAGTGCAGCTCGGCATCACCCAGCATGTCCTTGACATCCTTGACCGTGAAGGCCAACCGGTGGTCGACGCCGAAGATGCGCTTGCTCTTAGACGGCTTCGAGGCAGTGCGAACATTGAAGTCGTCGTCGTCCAGAATGTGTAGATGGACTCCGCGGTCGATCAGCATGCGGTAGATATCGGCGTACATGGACTGCGAAGATCATAGCAAGAAGGAGCGGCGCCTTCATTTCACAGAACTAACAGAAAAGGTCCGGCACCAATTCACGCTGTCTCGTTCTATGCATGCATACTGTGCATGCGTTACTTAGGTAACATCTGCTAACGAAATCACGAACATAAAAATTGCAAGGATGCGCGTTTAGTTTTTTTCTCTCGAGTTTTCTTATATAATACATAGAACAGCTCATCACTACTAAACCAATACGTTCACACTAACGCAACATTCAAGAAAAGTTCTAAAACAGAGCGCAGGATCACCAATATCAGGCAGCCAATGAGCCGCAACAGCTGAAGCACACTTTATATAAACACAGGCACACCCTTTTACCCACATTTCAGCATTCTGAAGTGAGCCATGTTTTTTTTAAATTTACGTTTCATTAAAATTAGCCTTAAGTCAACACCCCTAACTTAAGTCCTACTCGATAAAATTATATTTTGTTGGGACAAAATAAAAGCATTGGCTGGTGCGACAAACCAAACAAATAAGATGTGATGAATAATAAAAACTTAGTGATTAAGTACCAAAAAAGTGCGCACTATCCCTAAGGCAACATTTGCATTAAACCATATAGCAGCCACATGAAATCTTATAGCACGATATTGCTTACTGAGCTTCTTTGCACACCTACTAAGGGGATAAGAAATGAGCTAAGTTTTATTAAAAAGGTTATGACTATTCGCAAATGCAAAAGTAACATAAAACAAGTTCTGAAAAAAATCAATAAAATAGATTTGTAACAGGTGCAGCGCTTAGACGAGATAATCAGGTGAGCTGAAATTCGTAATACTCGCAGCCTGTTTCATCGAAAACCTTACTATTATGTGCTTTTGCGTGAGCGGCAACCCAAAGTTTTCTTCCTAGCTTGTTTTGCAGTATCAGTGCCATGACGGGGCGCTTTCGCGCTGTGGTGCTGATCATTTGTGAAGTGAACTTTTCCCATGCTCAATCCGAATTTGCTTTAAAATATCAAAGATGCTTTTGCTGTCATTAGTGAAGTGACACACAGTGTCAACCAAAGCAACTTTGTGGTATACAGGCTCATATACCTACCCTTCAGCGCGAACTATGTTCGCATGTAGCACGTAAAGCGTTGAGTGGGCGAGAACATAAGTACTTTTATATTTCCAAATGTGGTGTGTTCAAAACGTTTTTAGAGCATTATTACATGTTTGCATTCGACATGATTGCTCGATTACTCAACAAAATACTACATATCAAGCTGATCTTGCCATGCACACAAAATGGGCACTTTCAGTTTTGGTTTCCTAATGTAATGGGTGGTCTAATATTTTAGATACGAAGGCAGATCTTTGACTAGCCTGTGTAATGCTGTCCGTCTGTCTCCGCGCCAAACACACCGCACCGCGCTTCCCTCACCCCAGGTGTTGGGGTGGTGCCAAGTAGGTCACGCCTTCTCTCGCAGTGTGTGGGACATCACTGTGTCTCTCGCCGGCAGCGTGCTCGTCGCGTGTCATTTCTCTCGCTTCACCCTTTCCACCACTCGCAACGTTCGAGCGCACACTCAGTGAGCACTCTTTCGGCTCACATATCTGCGAAGGAGAGGGTGCCTGAAAGCGAAACTCTTTCACTGGCCGAAACATGCGTCGAAGCTGTGTGGTTTAACCCGGGCGTCGCTGGCATTGCGAGGGTTAGCAGAGGCGATCGCGTACGCGAATGACAACGTCGCGCCTGCAACACCGACGAGGCGTGAGCCAGGGAAGCCGAACGTAAGCCTCGGCAGTGGCAGACCAACGGCGCCGAGGAGGTGAGAGTCGAGCACGCCGATCGCATAGGAGAATAGAGAATGATCGCATTCGCAAACCATGATTTCCGTAACATGGAAATCATAATATGCGTGTCATGTAAAACATTACTTGCCACGCTCATGATGCGCTCACGGCCGTTTCGCTAGCTTCGTATATACCAAATTTAGTATTGCGTGTCGAGAACAGACGACAAAAGTAAATGACACGTCTAAACACGACAATCACGACACGCGTACGTGTCATGTAGCAACATGGTTACATGCCACTCATGATGTGCTCACGGCTGTTTTGCTAGCTTCACATATATCGAATTTAGTATTACGTCACGTGAATAGATGACGAAGGTATGTCACTGGTGCAAATATAATAACCATGACATGCGTGTCATGTAAGAACATGGAACATACCACGCTCATGTTGCGTCCGGGGCAGTTTCGCTACCTTCACATACACCAAATTTGGTATCACGTGATAGTAATAGACGATCAAGGTAAATAACGTGCCCAAACATCACAATAATCTTAGCATGCGTGTCATGTAAAACATGACTACATGCCAGGCTCATAGCAAGCTCGTGGCCAATCCGCTAGCTCCACATACACAAAATTTAGTATCATCTGACGTGAATAGGCGAAGAAGTTAAATGACACGTTCAAACATGATAATCTGACATGGAAGTCATGCACAGCATAATTTACGTCCACCTCGTGACGTTGTGCTGATGTTAAAGTGACATATCCACCTTCATCATTCGTGCTTCGCATATTTGTCATGAGAAATTGCCCTTCACAAGGGGAAGAGAAAAAGAATAGGGGACCCTTAAACTCCATCCTTAAGAGTTGAATGCGATAGCGAAATCAAACTCCTAGTGCGCCCTTCAACTGCTAAGGGCATACTTCCGCATACTCTACTCGTCGCCTAGCAGCAGTTGACACAGATTCTGCATGAAGTGGCAGCAGATAGGTAGTGTGGGTAAGTGCTCCCAGTTGATCGTGCTTAAACGTTAGCATCGTTCTGGCTCGTTAATTGTGGGACACCACTTGACATGAATGTCCCACAGGCACTCATTATTGAGCAAGACTGTGCAGTGAGGCCACTTTCCTCTGCTAGAACGGCGCTCTGCAGTAGCCGAGACACGTTTTTCACAATGTCTAACAGATGGCACAGAGACACACACACGCGAGCGCGCGAATGGTACATACAGGTTATCGATCTAAAGCAAGAGTCGCATGGCCTCCAAGATACACGCCGCGCGCTTGCCATATAGGAGGCCATATACAGTGTCGCAAAGTCTTACAGATGGCAGCACATTATCTAGCGTTTGCTAGTTGCTTGATGAACGCCTCTGGAAAGGCATGACCTGCTTTCCGCTACATGAACATAGTTGTCAATTTTTAGAGTTGTTTGAAAGTTCCTATGTGTTTTTATCGGCGATGGCTGCACTATATCAGCCTTTTTTCGACGTAGTTTAATAGCCTTTCGAATGCGCCTACAAATATCTGAATGGGCTAGTTTTTGTTGTGACACCTATCACACAAAGTGCGTTAAGGAGACTACTTCCACTACATGGCATTTTGTAGTGTTTTTTTCCCGAAGCACCTGCAAGTAGCAGCGTGGCTTTGTGGTAAATCACCTGCTTACCACCCGAACGGCCCGGGTTCAATTCTCCATGGAAGCAAATATTTATTCTTCATTTTATTTGCTCATTACTTTATTTTTCGCTCACGACAATTTTTCGCTAACAACCAACGGTGATGCCGACAGCGGAATTTTCGCGGCATGAGCTCTCGAACGCTATCGCGTTAAAACAACGAAATATAACACTGTTAAGCCGAGGTGTTTAGCCTGTCTGGCATTCCGGTAACGCAAAGGGCGGGCGTATTAACGAATAGCGTGCCCCATAACTGCAACTACGTCAAGGGGCGCCATCTGTGGAAGAAAGGCGACAACTAACATACACGCATGTTACGACCCCTAAGATTCGGAAGTATAACTGACTAAGCTTACAAAGTTGATTATTTTAGTAAATACCTCAAAAACATTGACAAATCGACCGGAATACTTTCCTAAAATACTTTGAATAAAAGGATCTATTTGAAGCTAGCGAGCTACAGAGCATGCGACGGCCGCTCGATAGATTGGAGGTGGACGGCAATCGCTTTCAGCAGCGCGGCCATGTTTTGCGAGAACGCGCATGTGCAGTTCACGCCCGGTATTCCGGTACACGCTAAGTATTTTGCCTATAGCAGTGTGCTGGACAGGCTGAAAGCCACTATGTATACTGTGCTTACCAGGATGCCGGAATCGAAGTGCGCGTGCGCGGATACGTAGGTTACCCGCACCACTTACCGCACGTGTGGTACTTTTCAGATTCAAGGTTACCGTTGTTGCGTAAGTGTACATAGTGTACGTAAACATGGCGGCGCTCTCGGACGCCCGCTTCGAAGTTATCTTGGCGTAGTTGTTGACAGATTCACCTTGTACTTAGCAAACAACTGTTTAAAGTGGCTACGCTTGCCTTCAGTTAGCTTCGATGACCGAGTATCACGGATAAGTTGGCGTAAATTTTTAGATAGCTTCCCATTTCCAACGCGTCTAGGCCTAACTACAGTATCAATTTAAACAAATTGGCAACATATTTTTTTTCGCGTTTGGTGCCTGGTTCATATTTATTTGCTTTTATTATAGAATAAACTTGCAATAATGCTTCGCGTGGTGGCATAGGCATACTTTCTCGTTTAATTTTCCTTTTCACTGTCTTCAACTTATTAACCATTCGATAGGTGGCGCACCATCTCAGCTAGGGCACGTAAACCACGTAAACGCTATCCTGCTAAACTATAAGACGCTGTCTACAACTAACGTTTGCCGCACGGTAACGCCATTCCCTTAACCTCCACTATCACGTTAACCATAAACTATAACTGTCTATAGGCAACGGTTGGTACTGTACGAGCGCGCGCTTCTGAAGGAGAAGGATGAGTTGCGGAACCCGAACGGCGATCCAGCGCGCGAGCAGCGACGAGCTGCCATTGTCGATGTGAGTTTGACAGGAGAAGGTCGCATCGCCAGCAAACGCACTGGCGATGACAGCGGCAGGACAGCGAATTGGCAACCTTTGATTCGGACATCCCGAGTAGAAGACGAAGACCTCGACACGCTTCGAGGGAGGCTGCCGCCGAAAAACAGCAAGCGCCGGCGTTCCTGGCGCCAGCCCCCTTTGAAGACAGCTGCCGAAGACAGTCCCCGGGTGGCCACGTGAGCGTGCAGCCCCGGGTGGCGCCTGTGGCCGCTCGGCTTAACCACCAAGGCATCCGCCACGTCACCAACATCAGGCGATGACGACGACGGGTGACCACAGCGGCAGAGATGGTGATGTTCACCCACGGTGTCGAAAACCCCGAGAGTGTCGCCGCGTGACTGATCCCGGACATTGACGAGCCGCGAATCGGCTTGGTCAAGTAAAGTCGGCGCGAATATTGAATAAAACTATATGAAGCTAGAGATGCCTGAAGTTGACTAGAACGGTTTTAGCGTGTGGCGCGGTGTTAGTGTAAGCTTAGTGGAGTTTAGTTTGCCTTTTTAGTACGTATGGGATCCGTTTAGGGGATAATTTCAATTTACTTTGGAGTTATTAGTAGTCGTTTTATACTTTTTTGTAGTTTTGCAGTGCGTGTTTATTGAGCGGGTGTTGTTAATGGAGACATGTCTCAGTTCATCACCCGCTGCAGCAGCAGCAGTGCGTAATCCGGGACAATATCATCGATTCCCACTTACGTGAGATGCAGTAGTGTTGTGAACAATAAATTGCGCATTTGGCATGGCAAAAAAACGGACATTTTCAAAACTAAAAATTCGCTTTTTTTTTCATTTGGCTGCATTAAAGGCTCACCGAAACTGAAAGTGCCAGTTGTGTGTATCACAAGACATGCCTTAACAAAACATGTTGTTGGGCTCATGCTGAAAACAATGGTAAGGACGCAACACATGGTGCAGAAAACAAGAGGATGCTTTTCCCAGTCCTCCTTTGTTCATCTTTGGTTTCCAAATTTTAAGGAAGTTGAATGAAACAAGTATTAGCGACCCACTCACGCTATCATCATTCGGCTTGCATGTGGTGCACTTGACGAGAATCATGGTCTGTGCCGAGGCCATTCTTATTGGCAGCTGTCCAGCGTAAGCGACGGCTGCAAGTGGATCACTCTCACCGTCACCGATGGTCAGGCTTCCGAAAGCCGAGACCAGGGCGCGAATGCTGCTGAATATCTGTCCGTCAGCCGTTACGACATGTGGTCTCTCGTAGAATCCGTCGCCGCCGAATCCCACCACGGCGTACCGAGTGTCGAGGAAGCCGCGCGCCGCGTACCGCTCCTCGATGCCCTGGGCCAAGCGTATCAGGTTGGGGATCACATTCTTGTTGCACAGCTTGCGCTCCACCACGAACACGACGTCCGCCGTGGGAGCAGCCGAATCCTGGTCCGTCACGGTCGCAATGTCACCAGCCAGCATCTCCGCACCGTCGGGCTTGGCGCAACGCACTGCGATTAGCAAACGGTGCAATAAAATGAGTAAAACTAAGGCCATAATGTTTCGACCGCGGAACAAGAATGATCAACTAGCACCATTGACGTTAAATAATGGAGAAGTTGATTTCGTGCCGTCAATAAAAACTTTAGGCTTCTATTCAAATGAGCACATGACATAGGATGACCACATAAATTTCCTAATTAGCAAACTGTATAGTACAATGCGCTGTGTCTCTTTTCATTGCCCTATAAGCATCAACATGTTCTTATATAATGCTCTGTGTGTACCAATACTTAACAATGGATTGATAGTTTGGGGTACTACAACAAAAAACTTCGACAAGCTCGCAGTTTTACAGAAGCGCCTGATTAGATTAGCATGCAAGGTTTCATACCTCTCACACATCATTGCCCTCTTTATAAAACACAACATTGTCCTGGTAAAGTCACTCTTTACCTATAATCTATGTATCCAGTATAAATCTAGCGTAATAAAAAAAAAACTAGAACTCTACAAACGCTAGCTGGATTACAGGCTACCCTATACTGAAGTAGAATGTACGCAAACCTGAAGAATGACAAATTAAGAAATGTCGCACTTGCTATGGTGAATAAGTGCTCCGGTTCATGCTCCCAGCTTTAATAAGTAGAATCAGTAAAGAGCAGCTTTTTAACATTCGGGAAAGCTCATTTAAAGAACTACGAAGAATTTTCACCACAATATCCTTATCATCAATATGCCTCATAAATAACGCTGTCTTTTTCATATTTTGCTATTTCCGAAAGAAAAACAATTTATTTTTGTTATGTTTTCTTTATTATGCCTATAAAAACATGTTACTTTTTTACACGAAGGATATTCATGCGCAATATAATATGTGTACATTTTATTTTCCTGTTTTTTTTTCGTTCGTTCGTTACCACTTTTTACGCTGTAGCAGGTGTAGGGTGGCCAGGGCAACCTCAAGCTGACTGTATCAGCTTTTGCCGCATGGTCTTCCAGAACATCGTGTTGTAAATAAATAAATGAATGAATGAATAAATGAATAGATAAATAAAGCAAGGCAACGCTGTTGTTAGCTGGGATATAGTTGATTGGGAATTGCATCACGCTACATGTTCAAGAATTGTTACAGCTTGCCATAAGCGTGCGTGGCAGAGAGGGAGAAGAGTGGGGAGGAGGTTTGCTGCAGCACCCCCCCCCCCCCCCCGAATCTTTAGGAGCTATGTAAGGGGCAGACTTTGGGTTCGCCATGAGCCCCTTGGCTCAAGTCGACCCTCACCAAGTCATGTGAACACAATATAGTTGTAAAAGCGCAGATAACCGGTCTTCAAGACATAGGATATTCTCATGTTTCAGTGGCCAATGTCACTGAAGGTTTAAAAAGGTCTGTTATGTTGAGTCCGAGCGTGGTTGAAGATGCTGACAGGAAGAAACGCGTCATGGGTATACCTGACATTCATTGGATGTCTCACTGGCGAAAGAAAGTAGGAAGTAGATACGGCATTCATGTTGTGCCATAGTGAATAGAAAAAAACGAACGTGTAAAAGAATGCTATTTGTTTAGTAAAACACACAAACAATCACTGATTGCCACGCTAGTGGGTATAGTTTGAAGTCCCTTTCGGCTGCGGCCACTTCTTCATAGAACAGACGGGCCGCTGTATTAAGCAGAGGTTATTCAAACGTATAAAAGATAGAGATGAAAGATGCGTATAAAAGATAAAAGATGCACCAACTGAAGGCTCACCTTGTAAATTATCTCTACATCATTGAGATGCCAAAATTCTATGAAGTTTGTTCCGGCATAGGAATGAAGAAACGCTTGTAATGATTGTCATATCGATAACAACATGCGCGTGAGCCAGCCGTCGATGAACTTTCGTAAAAGTGAAATCAAATACCTTAGGTATTTAATGTAGATCCCAGGCATATAGTTTCGACTGTGGCATGGGTATGCGAAAATAAGTATTTGTACCTTCTTTTTTTTTGACTGGTTGGCGTTTGTGGTGTCTTTGTTTGCACGTTTGTCTTTTTAGAATGATCGTCCATGCTGTGAGTCAATTCTGGCTTGTCGCAGGGTGGGAAGCAAGATGTGACTGCAAACATACGTATAGATGATTGCTCGTTAAGCAAACAAGCAGAAATACGTAGATGGCCGAAGTAAGATGTCTTGTTGGGCAGCTTGATTCATCCTATGAAAAAAGCGCCTGTAGTGTGTTGTATCGTCCCTTCTTAGCCAATGGCGTTTAGTATTAGTAAAACTGCAAATCATGTTCCTTTGAAGTAAACGACAGGTTCAGAACTTTCGATTGTTTTACCATGAGGGAATATTAAATCAGAGAAACTTGGAAGTACAAGCCAGAAGGTTACGAGATTCATATTAGGCGATATTCTGCCATGTGAGCACAGGTATACACTAATTCTGAAAGTATAACTGCATCCACGTGAGACCCTATATAGCAAAAGGAATCAGTCCAAGTGCCCGTTTTCTTTTTCGAGACGTGCTACACAATGAGGCCTAGTAGTAATGAAACCTAGCACAGTGCAGTTAGTAGCTCTTAATTCTTGTGAAGTTGAACAAAATCTGCAAATGTCTCGTATGCTTTCGACGTGTTCATTGCTATTCAACCTGCTGTGCTAACCTAGGTGAGTAAGCATTCTGCATTGACTGTGTGAGACGCGATTCATGTTGAGTGATTGTCGCATAGTAAATAATGCGTGTTGGACGCTCGGAATCGATAGCGAAGAAGGGGTTTACCGCATATCCGGGGCATGTCCAGGGAAATTCCGAACTCGCGGCATTCTTCCCTGTAGGCGGCGGCGCTGAGGCACACATGGCTCTCCATGTCGTCACTGTAAATGGCGGCGTTCATGTCGTGGAGGCACATCTTCATGTATGGCTTTGGGTCGACCATCTTAAAGCAACTGCGTAGCGGGGACTCTTCCTTCTCGAAGTACTTGGAACAAAAGGCCGTCGCTTTCGGCTCGGTGACCGCTGACTGGGCGAGATTTCTTTGGTTCCGGCATCTTCCCTGGCCCACTTCCCATTCACTGGCGAACGCCGTTGTGTCTTGTACGATCTTCCTGTCGGGTGTCATGAGGTCCAGTTTGTCCTCGTAGTCGTAGGTTCCCAGAAGACCACCCGTTTTGCCGAAGTAGGCTCCGGTGACCTCCGTCACGCACTGGTCGTATGCCAAGTTGCAGCTGATCTTCAGGCCGTTGTCGTTCTCAACAGTGATCACGTGACCGGAGCGATAGATGGTGGTGCCTCTCTCCTGGACTGGAAGCTCGATCTTGTTGCCTGCCTTGGTGACCTTGTAGTCGGTGCTGATGTCGAAGCGGCCGCCGTCGGTGATCACAGTGATTGACTTCTTAGTGACGCGCTGTCCATCGCGAGCGTAGTTGATGACCACCGCAAAGTTGTCGTTGAGGAAGTCTTTGGCAAGCAGGTAACTGCACTCGCCAGCAAACTCAAAGTGGAAGCCGTCGAAGGTTCGGTAATGCTGAGAACCAGCCACCAGGGCGCGGGCTACAAGAAGAAGTAACAGGGCAGTCAGTGTTGAGGCGACAAAGTTTGGACATTTTTAGTTCAATGCTTGTCTAGTTCATCGTATAATTCGAAGCAAATTTCGTGGCACCTCAGGCTCAGAAGTTCTTTTTTTTTTCAGAAATAGCAAAGTGCATTATCTTAGTTTAATTTCCCGGGAATGTAAAGCCCGCTTAATTTAAAAACATTTTTGATTGGTAGATACGAAGTTTATTGAACACAAGGCATCTATATGATTACAATCAACACACTGCCCAATAAGTCAGAGCGCACTCACCTTTAAAAGGCGGCACCCAAGCCTGTGGGTCGGTGGCGAGGCTGTACTGGTAGAAGGCGTCCCAGAATGAGTTGGTTCCAAGGTCGTAGAAGCGGTCCTTGGCAGCCACCAGGTGGTCGAACTCGGGGTAGCTGCTAACGTCGAAAGCCTGAGCCAGGCTCTCTTTCTGAGCCGGCAGGCGCAGCTCGGCAAGAATGAGGCCGCGTTTCGGTGCGAACTCGTACCGCAGCCCCGAACGCAGGTTGGAGTATTCGCGAATGGCGTCTGTGAAGCCTTCCACGATGCTGTTCTGGATTTGCTTGGCCCCCATGTCAATGACGGCGACCGCCGCGTCATGTAAACCGAGCCGGTCACTGACTTCACGGATCTGCGATGAATATCAGGGCAAAAAACACTTGAAATAAATTCTACGTTGACAGTGCTTCTCTATCGCAATAAAAACCCAAGGACATGGAAGCTGTTGTCGATGCGTGAATTTTAATACGTTTCAGAAGTACCCATTGGGCCAGTTTTACTTTTGCCTGAAGTCTACACAATCAACCATAAGACCATAGTATATGTTGCTTCATGGTGACGTTGGAGTAAAAATGAAAGCCATTTTCACATTCCTCGGCTTCGCGAGAGCGTTAGATAGAGCACTCAACTAATAGTAAAGTAGGGCTTGTTCAGCTTGCAGTCGCATGGACTAAATTTTATAACTGAAAAGTGTGAAGAGCTCTGATGCAGTCTGATGGCTTCGCTTGGCTGGCACATGCAGATTGTATGATCACGCTTGAACATGATTTAGAGGCACCTACAGCGGGATGCCGCTTCGGTGGTGTGCACTATAGTGAACTTAAATTTTAGCGTGCACTATCAACACACTGCAGACTAGTGAGACACATGACACGTGCGAAATATTCGCTTTCTTTTTGATGTTTAGTCACCCAACATCTTGAGCCAGCCCCAGTGCAATAGATACGGCTGAGAAGACATGGCTTACAATGATGACGACGAAGGGCCGAGAGGAACGCGCTGTAACTCAGTGCCCTGTAACAATATTCTCCCAATCAGACTACACAGTTAACTCGGTTTTCGAAATCTGCGAACTGCGGGCAGCCTAAGTCGCTGAAATCCACTTGTTCATTACGTGGACCAGGCGTGACCGACCGCAAACTGGCAGCTGTTAGAATGTCGCGAGTTAGAGTCTTCCCGTGACATCATACTTTTGTAAACACGTCAGCGCGAAGCCGCAACCTTGATAACGAAACCCAAATAGCTGTCTTATGATGTTGGTATTAAAAATGCATTCAATGCATTCGCAAGCACAATAACGCTGTATTTCAGGTTCTCGACATCCAGGTTTTTGATTAAAGCACCAATCCGCAAATACTAAGAATTCGCGTCAGTACTCCTTTGAGTGGTCAATAACGCTCAAAGTATATTACGAGTACTTAGAATATAAAGTGCTTAGAATATAATGTGCAATATAATGTGAATATAATGTGCTTAGAATATAATGTGCAATGAGTAAACCGAACAAAGCCGTTTGACACCGTTCAATGGATGAAAATTGAAGAACCACATCATCTGCAGTTTCCAAGGATACGCACGCTCACCTTGCGGATGGCATTGTTGGTGACTTGGCTGACGTACTGTACGTGCGGGTGGTAGACAACGTTTTCATACACATCGCCGACAGCGTTGCTCACAGTGTCATAAGCGTAGTGGTAGCTCCTGGTCACCTGAATCAACGTTGAATGCATTTAGTGTGGCTATGGTGCGCTCAATGTATCGCCACATTCCTTGAACAAAGGCGTTCTTCAATATTCGCTGGGCCAAGGGGTTTGTGTACACTGAAATGGAGCAGTGACGATCAGATCATCTCGACGTATGAAAGATTCGTACATCCAATCGGAAAAGACGCTGAGTGATACAGAAACTTTTTAAACTGCGTAGACAACGAAGACACAAGGAAGACACCACTTGTTTCTTACTTGTGTCTTGGTCTTCTTGCACAATTTGAAAGGTTTAGCAGCTACCAACCGGCTAGCCTGATAGAACGCATTATAGATACAGAGACAATTTCGCATATAAATAACTATCAGCGCGAACAACAAGGCACTGCCTGTTCGTGCGGTTTCTCGTTTCTCGATGGACTGGTAGAAATAAGCGCTCTAGTAAAATTAGCAGATCTGTATAAATCAAACATCCAGCTGTATAACAGCATTCATACGATAGTACGAGAATAAACAGCGAATATTTAGGATACACGTGTTTTTATGCACCCATTGTTAATTTAGGGCACATTAGCAACAGAGAGATAATGATAAGGTTGATTTGCGAATACGGGCATAAATCATCTTTTTTCGTTTTCTGCCCTTGCGTCCTTTACGTATAAGAGGGATGAGCTTTCCATACATTCATTAACGACACTGTTTTGAAAAGTGCAAGACATTTTACGAGAGATGGGTGACCTCTCGCTTGTAGGATGACATCTGTGTATTCATTGACGCATGCATACACTCTGCCTTCTTCAAATGCTTCACTATAGTTCAGGTCAGCACTTTTATTCCATCTTCAATATACACCGGCACTTATACATCCGAGCCACCAGCTTAGAGCGGCAACGATTTACCGACAAGTCGTACTTTACATATATATCTGTTGTGTTTAGCTTTTCAACATTGACAAACTAATCTGAATTAGCCTTTACCATGGTTGCTGCTTTTATGCACTTAACTTCCATAAAGTGCAATTTAGCGACCGAAAGTTTAGGATAAGGTTAGTTCGTTAATACGGTCGCAAATAGTGGCTCTCTACGCTTTCTCGCTGGAATCTGTGCCGACCAGTTGTACCCTCGCGATCTCCGACGACAGCGCAGCTCTGGATGACTGGGTTGGTCCTACGCCACTTCCTGCCACCGGTACCCCACGACGACGACAGCGTAGCCCTGGCCGACTGGATTAGATCTCCTGTTGCCGACCAGAGCGCTCGCCAGTGGTGCCCCGTCCTCGGACTCCTGTGACTGTGTTTCATCTTTCCTATCTCTCTTCTGTCGTCGCTCGCTGTCCCTGCGCATCTCTCTCTCTATATATACATTTAATCATACCCTTTTAATCCCTCCTCACCCCCATCCCTTGTGAGCTACTGCTGAGGTGTCGCACCAGATGCAGACAGTTCCGGTGCTCACTTTTCTCTTCTTTTCCCTTTTATAACACAATCTCTCTCTCTCTCTCTCTCTCTCTCTCTCTCTCTCTCTGATTTGCCTCTTTTTTTAGAAGACATCAGATTTTCATACATTCATTGGCGACACCGGTTTGAATGGTGCACGGTACTTACGAGAGATGGCTTCCATGACCTTGTCCGCCAGTTCACGGGCGCCGGCTGTTGAGGGACCGTAGCGCTCGCAGAAGTTGACCACATACTCGGCAGCAACGTTCGTCAGCTGCTCCAGCTTGTAAACGAGGTATTCGGTGGCGTCGGAGAGGGCCAGGGCGGCGCGGTTCATGAACACGACCAGTAGGCGCTCGGCGAAGATGAGCGTGCGGCGGCTCGACTGGGCGAAGCGTTCCATGGCGTCAGCGATTTTGTCGCACGCGCACGTGATCCAGGTGGAGGTGTAGCGCACCATGTGGTCGCCCACCGTGACAATTAGGCGCCAGGAATCGGCGACAATTTGCCTGGGGAGAAGAACGGCACATAATTTACAAAATTGGACAGTCCCGGCCTAAAGCGGCAGGGCTATCAGTCATTAGAGGGCAATACATCACTCCCTGTTTTTAAAAAAAAAAGCGCATATTTGCTTTCTACTTTAGTAGGTTTTCAGGTGCACTATACACCTACTTGTCTACGTGGCTGCAGAGGTTCTTTCACTGGCTTGCTGTGCGGCTCGGAATTCACATTTAACGGCTGGATATCGTCGGGCAGGATCGAGTCCACGCATATGCATCAAATAAACGCGTAATGATCAACGCCTTGACCGAATGCGAGAGAAATGCAGTTTGGCGTCGGCGTGACGGCAATATTATCACGCCCCATGCTCGCAAGTTCAGGGCAACGAAGAAGTACGCACATTGTAAATGATGTGCATAACGCACTTGACGGCATTTGCTTGTTTCATCTGCCTTTTTGATTGGCTACTGCTTGGTAAGAACGCCGTCAATAATTTGCAAATTAAGCTTACTACTGAAAATTTAAGCCCTAAAGGTTCCTGCAACACTTTTTGAGCATGGTCAGAAAACGCTGCCGATCCGTAGTAGACGTGAGCCAGATAATATAGTGAAACACACCGCGCGGAATTAACAATAAATTATCAAAGGCAGCTAAAATTTGCTTTCTTTTCTCACGACAAATGATGGAAGACGCTCCAAAATTCCTTGTAGAAAGCTCATCTATCAGCCATTGGCTGATTTGAATTTGGCGCACTCAGTCGTTACAGAGATCGCCGCGGGAGGCCGCGACTTGTCAACGCGTGTATCCAAGCCTGCAGAGGTAAAACGAGGGCTTAGGCAGGGGTGCCCCCTGTCACCCTTATTATTCGTGATGTACCTACAAGGATTAGAGGCAAAATTAGAGGGAAGTGGACTGGGCTTCAACCTTACTTTAGTCAAACAAGGAAAACTTATTGATCAGGCACTACCAGCATTAATGTACGCAGATGATATAGTGCTAATGACCAACAACAAGGAAGATTTGCAGAGATTGATGGACATCTGCGGTAATGAGGGAGATAGGTTAGATTTTAGATTCAGTAAGGAAAAATCAGCAGTCATGATTTTCAATGACAACGAAGGTAGTGAGCTTAGAATACAGGAGGTCACGCTAGAGATAACAGATAAATACAAATATCTGGGCGTATGGATAAGCAATGGGACCGAGTATCTGAGGGAACACGAAATATACGTGACGACTAAAGGTAACAGGAGTGCAGCAGTCATGAAAAATAGGGCACTGTGGAATTACAATAGGTATGATGTTGTGAGAGGAATATGGAAAGGGGTCATGGTTCCTGGGCTGACGTTCGGCGATGCGGTCTTGTGCATGAGATCAGAAGTTCAAGCAAGATTAGAAATTAAGCAACGTGGAATAGGTGGGCTTGCTTTAGGAGCTCACGGGAATACACCAAATGAGGGAGTACAAGGTGATATGGGATGGACATCATTTGAGGGCAAGGAAGCTAGCAGCAAGATAAATTTGAGAAGCGATTGAGAGAAATGGGGGAGGAGCGTTGGGCTAGGAAGGTTTTCAGCTACTTGTACATGAAGAATGTCGATACAAAATGGAGGAAGCAAACCAGGAAATTGACTGGTAAATACTTGGAAAACAGCAGCTGGCCAAACCAAAAAGAACTATCGGTTAAGAAGAAAGTGAAGGAAACGGAGGCTGACATGTGGAGATTGGGCATGATTAAGAAGTCCGCACTAGAGATCTATCGAACTTTTAAGCAGGAAATTGCCAAAGAAAGGATCTATGATAATACTTGGGGTAGTTCTCTACTGTTTGAGGCCAGTACGGGAGTACTGCGAACCAAGACATATCGGGCCAAATACGAAGGGGTAGACACAGTATGCAGTGCGTGTGGAGAGGAAGAAGAAATTGCCGAACACTTGATGATGTTCTGTAAAGGGCTTCACCCTATAGTTCAGGATGATGGCGCAGAGTTTTTCAAACCACTGAGGTTTAGGGACCGGGAGGGCAAAATAGACTTTAAGCGGGTAGACTTAACTAGAAGGAGGTTATCTGATTGGTGGCTAAAGTCAAGGCACGAGTGCAAATTAAACCCTTCACTGCAAAGTACGAATCCTCAAACTCACTTTTTAAAGAAAAAAAAATAAATCTAGGTTTTGGTTCATTAAGTATTACGACTTGGTGGCGCTAGCCACCGCCCGATCTAAAGGGTACAGCCAAATCCATCCATCCTGTGCGCGATCCCACTGAAGAAGTCGCGCAATCGAATAAAAAAAAGAAAAAAGTGCTCGCAAAGCGTGAGTAACGCATTTTCTTTCTTTCTTTTTCTTTTTTTTTGCCCGTGTCATCCCTCTCTGCTTAGCTTCCAGTGCTTTCATCGGAATGAGAGAAGGGAAAATTCTATTGCAGTGTGCGACAAATCTTTGTAACTCCACTCGCACTGGACGGATTCTTGAAATATTTGCGGCGTTGAGTTCGTGAGGCAATAAGCTCTTACACTTAATTCATTCCATGGCTACTTAAAAAAGTGTTTCACAGCCCCTCGAAGGTAATATTTGTTGCATTGTGCAGTCTGGAGCAGAGAGCTTTTTTGTGCTCCTCACTTCGCGCATGATTTTGACAGATTGCTTAACACTATAAAAAGCAGCTATTGGGAATGCTGTGCAGCATGTTTGCGAAAAAATTGTTTCTTGGCACGAGAAAGTGAGTCACCGCTTCAGTCCTCAAATCTTCTTTGTGCACGTTCAATGCACGTGTGAAATTCATGCACGTGTGAATTTTATTGTGAAATTCAATTGTGAAATTCAAAATTGGGAAATTCAATGCACGTGTGAAATTTTATAAAAGGCTTAGATGTTTTTCAGAAGTTGCGCCGCGTATGAAAATTGTCAGAAATAAGTCTACAGGAAAGAGGCGCTCCTGCCAACTATTTGTGCTATTCGTAGATTGCGTGAAACTCTGGTACTAGCGCAATAAGAGGGTGACTTGTCAATCGAGAAAAAATGTATCTTAGCTGAGGCTACGATGTAATCTTCTAAATGAACCCTCCTGCCTCAGTAACACATAAATGGTGCTGCAAATTGCTCTGCTTTAGCTGTGGCCATGGATCGTAGCTGTTTTTCGCGAAAGGGTGTCGTAGAGTGCGTGACAGAAAGGTTGTGCTACGGTAGGAAAAAAGATAGAGTGAACATCTTTTTTTTTTAAGTCATGCTAATAGGAGTCAAGTACTTTGGCAACTACTGCTGCGCTGCATCGTTCATTGTATATGTCTGCTGAATATTTGCTGCTCTGCGGGCTTTTTCATAATGTCGCCTTTTAAGATGCGACGCATGTTATGGGCAGATCCCACGTACAGTGGTAATCGATTATATGCGAAGCACAAATGAGGAAGGTTTATATGCCACTTAAAAATCAGAACAATGTTCAGAGGCGGATGAATGTAGTACACAGTAAACACAAGTAGGAATGTTATGCGTGCTCAGGTATCTAGATTGTATGCTAGTATGTTAATTATAGCCGCGCAACGACGGCATCACTAACATTTGCAATAACAGCACCAGGACTGAAAGGCATTTAAATTATGCCGTAGATGACTTCCGTGTCATGACTATCATGCTAGCGCCTAGAATTTGTCTTTTTTGTCTATTCACGTCAAGTAATACTAATTTTGGTATATGTGAAGCTAGCAAAGCGGCCGCGAACGCATCATAAGCGTGGTATGTAGTGAGGTTTTTACATGACACACATATAATGGTTATCGCGTTTGCACAAGTCCATTATCTTCGTCGTCCATTCACATCACGCAACACCAATTTTGGTATATGTGAAGCTAGCGAAACGACTGTGAGCGCATCATGAGCGTAATTCGTGTACTCATCACTTACATGACATGCATGCGATGATTTCCACCTTAGGGTCTGTTACGTTCGCCATGCAGGCATGTAATGCCATAGCAGCTTTGCAACAGACAGATCATGTGAACGAAACCACCACAAGAGTACCAAGACTATGACATGTAAATCTTGACATTCATGACACACATGCCATGTTTTTTTTATGCTATGACAAGTCACTCATGCTCGTCATACAGTCGTGTTCTGCCATACCAATTTTGTATATATGTCATTATGAAAACGGCCAGGAGCGCTAAAAAGTCGTAGGCTGCTAAATGGATGGATTGCTATATGCGCTTAAAGTCGCCGAAGTTCGCGAAGAATTGCTTCGCATTTAAAAAGGTTCCTAAATTCTGCAGCCCTGTAGGGAGCATGTTGCAGCGCCTGTATCTTATGGTCGAGCTCAATCAGGTGTGCGGCATGACCACCCTTACTGCGCGTCCTCTTCTCCCCTTCCCAAGCCCTCTGCTATCGGCTCACAGCGCCGCCGCGGGCAGCGTCTGCTAGTGTACGCTCGACCCCATCCTCCCTTTCTCATCTACGCATCCTCCCTGTGGCGTTGCAGGCCCTTCGCGCATGCGTTCCCTTCCCCCTACTTTTCTCTCGTTTCTCTCTCTCGCCTCTCAATGACGACGCAGGCAGCGTCAGCTAGCTTCGTTGACAAAACCGACTGTTCACACTGCACTACCGTTCACTGACCACACCGTATATATAAGCATCTGGATCTCTTGACCTCCAAGGTAGTGCCAGTGGGATATTTCTCCTGTGCGTTGTTGAACAATAAATAGTCGTAGCCTGCGCGTTTACTAAAAGCGGACTGCGGGTCTCCATGTCCGATGCGAATCTTCTGTCTCTCATTGTTCATTAGGAGTAAATTGCATGTTCCAGTTGGAGAAACAGGTCAATCGCTGCGTGCTTAGCGCCCCCGCGCAGGTTTCCCTCATTCACAACGCCGCGATAAGCGCCAGCGTCAACGTCACCACCAGTGTAAGCGTTAACACCCGGTGCTTCGCATGGTTCCTTTTAGCGTAACACATGGTTCCTTTTAGCGGGAGATAGTGAAATTTATTCTGTAAAATTTATACTCAAGATATGGAAGCTATATTGCCATGTCTCGCAGTGCAATGAACCCACCTCTTCGTGCGTGCGTTCACCAAACATTGAAGAGTGACTGCATGTGCTTATGCAGAAAATGACCTGAAAATTATTATTTTAGTCTAATGCTATGATTCTCATGTTTTATCCAAAATGTGACCATGTGCTTTCCTCTCTGTCTGTACAGATTACACGAAGCATATCATTGCGTGGAAACAATGCACAAAAAAACTAAATTATGAATTCCGAGACGAGAACACGCACAAAAGAGATCTCTGAAGCCGTGTATTTTTCGATTCCCTTGGAATTGGCCTTCGAGATCATCCTTTCTGCGGTCCTATCTTGGAGGCTGCAAAGATTCCGCACGTTCGTTTGGTGCGCTGCGAACACAGGTTAGCCGCAGGGACCTGCAGGAGAGTCCTATTATTTTGCTTATTAATCTATGGCAAGAGGCTATCGCCCTGCACCATATTGAAACGAAAGGGTTGAACCATAGAGAAACATACTTACATAAAGAGTGGACACTCCCGTAGAGCCATGCGGCTCAGCTACTGCGCTGCTTTCAGCGCCACGAGTGGTTGGTCAGACCTCATAATGTCTTCAGCTTAAATAAAATAACAATTTTTTTCCGACGCCGGGATTTGAACTCGTAGCCTCATGCTCTGAAAGCGAGTGTCTTCACCACTTGGCTACACACCCATGCTTCCGTAAAGGGAATACATGTACAGTACACCTAAGCCACACGAATGTGCCTCTGTGCAAAACAAATACAGAAAGGCCACACTTTCTGGTCCTACTTTGCTGTTTTTTGTTTTAAGGCTACAAATGTCGTTAGCGAGACATGGTGTAGTGCCGATGTGAAAAATTGCACAAACTAATAAAATTCCTTCTGTTCGAAAAATTGATGCCAAACTTGGGTAGTCATTGCACTCCTGAAGAGGTTATTACATGTCTTAAAAAAGAAATAAAAGCGAGGATGGGTACGCTATCTAGCGGTTGCTCAGACGCTTTTTTGCTGGACCGCGAAAAGGCTCCAGTGGCCACTCTTTATATAGTATATTTCTCTATGGTTGAACAGGCTAGAAGGACCAGACAATAACAATAGCACAGCATACCATTCTTGTGTTCAAGAGAACAGCCATGATTCTTAGGAAAAACGTGCGTACATTTATTTAGGAGCATCCGTAATTACGATGGCTGAAAAAGTGACGCAATTTCAGACACACTAAAAAACAATTTTTTTCATATCAATAAATCACTCCTTCAAAGCACGCTTGCACCGAGAAAGCAATCAGCAATCGAGAAAATGCGCAAAGAGAATATGCGGATGGCGAGGCCGCCTTGAAACTGCCGCACCAAACTTCATGACGTCATACATTTTGAGAGCTTCTACTAGCTCATGCATCATTTCTAATCAATGAACATTAAGCAAAGTGCATTGAGAGGACATAAAGCGAACATACTAAGTTTCGGGAAATTTTGTTGCACCAATGCCGCCACAATGCGAGAAATGCGGTTTGTATTTCGTGATGTCACGCACGGACATGTCGATCCGCGATTTCAAAAGAAGCTTTGACCGTCATTTTGTCCTAAATTATTAAGCCTGTGATAGTGAAATCAATAAAATTAGAGTTCCAAGAGTATACTTGGACATATTATTCTTAGCTGATTATTTGTTTCACTTTGGTGCTCCCTTAAGTTGAACGAAATTTCACCTGATAGACCGCCTTTGTGCCAGCTAGCAGGCGCATTATTTATTAGTAATTATTGAATACTGTTTGCCTGAATTTTCACGCCTTAAGCAGGAGTGAATGGCTCACATTGCGAATACAAATGCACGGAATAGTAAAAGAGCTGACTTACAAAACGACACAAAAAGTAACTGGCGTGATAAATAGGTCACTGATAAATAGGCAAAAATACGATTTGCAGTGGAAAACATTTTGTATATAAAAAGCAGTGGCACTTTTACACAAGGGATTGTTCAACCCTTGCAATAAATAAAATAAATCTAAACAAGTGTCTTAATTTAACTCTACATTTCAACGCGCTGCACGTCATAGAGGAATGCAACTAAAAAAAGAAACATCAAATAATGAGAAGCAACAAATAAGGACGCCGCATTTATGACAACGTGGTACACCCCTGGTGATAGAAGAACTATTATTTCTTGTTTTGAATGGTGGCAATGAAAGTGGAAACGGAAGCGCATTCGGTTGTTACTCGGTATACATGATTCCTATCTCAGATGGTACGGGGGAGAAGGAATTCATGTAATATTTTGTTTTGCGAGAGATTTCAATAGGCTCTTTTGAGTAGAAAGACCAAATTGGACTCTGCGTGAGAGGTTTCAAATAGCGAGTTTGCTGAATACAAGCTTGTAATGGCATATCATATAAAATATTTTAACCTTTTGCAATAGCCTCCAGTTTTTAATAATTCTAGATTCGTGGGAGATAAAAAATCGCTTGGTGACGTTTTGCAACTGTATGAATAAAAATCAACTTAGCTGCCTTTGTCAGGGTATTTTCTATTTTGCGTATGTTCGAATTTGTGTGTGGATCCTATACTGCTGTAGTGTATTTGAGTGTTGTTCTTACGTTGGTTATGTAAGCCAGAAACTTTACATTTTGTGCAGTCTCGAGAAGTGTTCGCCTTGAGTATCCTAGTTGCCGCATTGCCTTCTTGTGTGACGTGGTCATGTCATCGAACATCAGGTGTAATGAGAACCGCCAAGCATTTGTAATGAAAACTGCAAATAATTGCAACCGATACTATCATTGGAACTGAGGGGTTTGTCAGTACCAGCGAAATAACGAACAGTGTATTGTAAAACATAACGCGGACCGCTTGCACTGCTTTATCCACCTCTGTGACACAAGAACAGCTCAATTTTCACTTTGTGAAAGGAGGCTAACGTTACCAATTACTTTTTTATTTTCTTAGTTTTTTTCCTAGCGCACATTTACGCCACACTTTGTGGAATGTTTTCTACATTTACATCTTACAGGGCGAAGAGATCCTTCGCCGGGGGCATAGCCAGACACTTTTTTCGAGAGGGGCGGGGATCAACCATATTTTGTATACGTTGGCGTGGCGTTTCTGTGTGTACATGTATACATACGCAAGAAAACGAAAAAATTCGGAAAAGTCTGAAACCCCCCTCCCCGGAAACGCTCATGTCCTTCGTGTCCTATGCAGGCTGCCGTTTTGCCGCAACTGTACACTGATGTATGCTCTAAATGAAACAGACGGCATATTTTCTGTTTTTTCTGCCACAACACATAACTGTGAAACACTAAACCATCCTAAACCGTCCTAACTTCCACAGTGTAGCGGTAATGGACACAAGAGTATGCGTACCCAGCAGCAAGAAATGCTCCAGAGCAGGCGTTCACCACGGTCTTCAAGTAGAACTGGTCCCGGTGGTAGAGCTCTTTCATCGTCTCAGCGGCTCTTGAGACTTCGAAGTGCAGATCGCGCCAGTCCCTGGCGATGTCCTGCAGAAGCGGTCTCACCTCGGTGCTGAGGGAGCGGCCCATCATAAAGCGCTTGGCTCGCAGCTCCTGTTGTGTTTCTACGCTAAAGCTCTGCCAGATGTCGTAGAGCTGATTGCGCATGCTGCCGTACTGGTCCAGGGCATAGCTCTGCACATAACACAGGTGGATAGTCATGGCACAGCTACGGGTAATAGTCATGGCACAGCTACAAGTGTCTTTGTCTCCGCCACTTTTTCTTCGTGTCTCTGACACGAAGTAAAAGTGGCAGAGACAAAGAGGAAGACAAGTCGTTTAATTGTGTTGTCGACCCAGCACATATTATAATGAGATAAACACGCTGATTATTAAGTGGACATGAATTGCGTCTGTATAAACAAAACTATGTATTCATAAGAGCCACGGAAACTCAACTGAATTGAATCTTCATTTTCATGCTTGGTACAAGAAGGATGGCGGGAGTAAAAGTAACCCTAAAGCAGCTTGGCTAGCTTCCGCTACGTAAAAAGATTTTGTGAGCTGAAAAGAGACATAACAAAAAGCAGTCACGCCTATTTCCCACTTGCGTCGTTTTTTGAGGAATGAGATCTTTGCTTCGCTAAAATACCAATACGCTCAACACTGTTTCTACTGACGTGAGAGCGGCATGGCACAATTCACTTTTCTCAGATGTCGCCGTGTCTTTCTAATATAGTACCTGCGTCAGCCTTCCCATAAACACTGATTACCACTGACGCAACTGGCTGAGAGTTTAAAGAATTGACTAAACGACGTCGGTGGGCTAGTCGGTTCGAATCAATAATATAGCGAACAAGCTAGAATTTACGCGGACGTAGAGTCGTAAGAGTCACAACACTTGGGTAATCATTTCGTGACCCTCCTTATTTTCGCATTTTCTATGGAATTCTTGTATTAGGACACCATCTAATCTGTCCGATATAGCCATTGCCATATGGTAGAGAGTTGACCACGCTAGTTGCACAAGGGATGAGTCGACTTCGAAGTTTGATGACACATACGTATCTCTTGAGATTATCCACAAAATTTCACCATTTGGTGTTCTTTAACGTCTACCGACATCACACTGTACGCGGGCTTCCACCATTTAGCCTTCATCTAAATGCCATAGCCGGGATAGAACCCGGGACTTGTGGGCCAGCAGCCGCGCACCTTAGTCGCTAGACCACTATGGCGACCTCTTTAGATAGATTATTAGTATAAATACGCGGAATTACCTCTAGATGTACTGCACAGAGAAGTGGTGCTAATCTCAAAGGGAGTGATATGGAAGATTTAAAAGCAATGATCTTTTGGAAGATGTGAAATGTTCACTGAAGGCTAAGTGGCCGATTCGGTTGCATCTATGTTGCTTCTTTGCGTGCAAACTGAGAAAGGCTCAGCAAGCATGCGTAGAAAACGTGCGTAAGATACTCTGCCTCGCCGCTTTTTTTTTTTTGCACAAGTCGCATATAGCAATTCCTCTTTTATTTTACCACTGCCAGCCAAATGTGCACAATTCACTCGTTCACCACCCTTTTCTCTAGCCATTTTCTATACTTGCTGATCGCCTAGCCATCGCACGATCTTTGCGATCATGAGACAGAGAAGCCCTCATGCAGTGCCTGACGAAGGAAATCATGTGAAGTAATTTTTTGTTCAGCTGTATACAAATCCGTAGGGTGGCGTCTTTCATTCCTCGTGTTCACAATATTGGCGGTCACGCTGGCTCTGTAGAAGATACAAAGTTTTGAAATAGCGGGTCAACGTTCGTTGCGCTATGAGGGCAACCAATGAGCAAGCGTCAGTGAAACGCTACTACACTCGCTGTGTTCTGATGCGGTGGTGGTATTGCTCAGAGCCACAACAAGGAGCACGAAGGAACAAATCTGACGGACGTATGACATCGGAGTGGGAAACAAGTCTATCGCATATCCGAGGGAAAGCGCTCGGAAGCACGTGAAACAAAAGCAGCGCTATTCCTCATGCAGTGTCGCATCATGACTACTCCTTGAGTTGAGGTGGACCCGATGGCTCCCACTGAAGAGCAGCGTTCTGCACTGGCATTATTAAAATGAAGGAGGTGTTGTGCATGGGGCCTTCTTCTAACGGCAGGTGACTAAACCTGCAAACCACGTCGAGAAATAGCCAAGGCTTAAGGCTTGGTTTTCAATGGAAAAGACAATGTTAGGAAGTAAAACAAACAGCCTTCATTATTGTGCATAGTGTGTTTAAGGTGCCTCACTGCCTACAGCTGCCCATCGCCTTCATATAAAATGAAGCAGACACCAAACAAGCACCTACCGAAGCCTCTCTGGCGAGTTCAGGCCTCCAGCTGATCTCGGAGGAGAGGAAACGCTTCTCTTGGAGGCCGAGCTTGATGAGAATGTCCGACACGCTGCGTCCGAGTGTCGTATGTGACAGCCTAATCTCGCGGTTGTCCATCGATGCCGTAGCGGATACCTTGGCGCTTGATGTATCTGCAGAACGCGGCGTCAAAAGATGACTTGGCGTACACATCCACGCTGAAAGCATTGTGTTAGTTCCTTTCTATTGCGTGCTCTTAAACAGCACGCAATTGTTTGAACAAACGAAACATGGCAAACATTGAGAAATGAATACGAGTTAACAAGACGTCTTGTTTGTTGGTGGGGGAGATGCACCGGTTGGAAATAGGGACGGAAATGCAGTTACTGTCGTGTCAAGGCTCTCCACCCGCATTGCAGTGGGCGGTTTACTAGGCAACGCTTTTCTTGTAGCTTCCTTCGCCGTATTCTGTATGCTTGAATGGGCCCTGCAACACTTTTTCGAGTAACCATCGAATGGCCGAATGAAAGAAGCTTATTGCCTCACGAATAGACCGCCGCGTTTTTAAAAAAGAAACGGTAAAGTACGTATGGTGTTACAAAGATTTGTCGTGCGCCGTGATTGCTTTCTCTCTCTCTCCTTTGGTCCAGGCGAGGGCACTGAAAACTGAGCAGGGAGGCTTAACACGAGCGAAATAAGTTACGTTAAGCGCGCATTAAGACATTGAGAACTCTTTTTTTTAGCAGGTGCAATCAGTGTGATTGCCAGCGAGCGCCCGGAAACGTGAGGGCCTCCCGCGGCGGCCACAGCAACTATGTAGTCCACGATGCTCAAATCAGTCAGTGGCTGTGAATACAGGATTATGGCGTGTTTATGTATATATAATCATTTGTAGAAAAAATAGGAACAAATTCTAGCTTTCGTTCAGAATTCATGATAAAATTCACCCCGATAGGCGCACTATAACGTTATCTCACGTGTTTTCAGGAAGCTCAACTACCGACTGACAGCGTTTTTTGACCACGCTGAAAAAGTTTGCTGGGTACTTTTGAATGAGTTGCTTAACTGACAGTAAGACGGGCTCTCAGTTGGTGCATTGACAGTTGGCCGAGTTTGTAAGTGTTCAGGATTCTCTAAAAGCGCCACGAAAAGACGCAAAACACTGGTGACGAACAAGAAACCAAGCGCCGCGTCAGTGTTTTGCGCAAGCTAGAAAATCTCACCAGATGCCATGAACACGAGCTCCACGTTGCTGTGCCTCTTGCTTACACGCACGTGTGCCTTGGTTGGAGGAAGCTCGTTCAACTGGTGCTGCAGTCTCATTCCCATTTCCTGGCCTTGTTCGTACATTTCGGCCTGGAGCTGGTTGCGGTCCTGTCCGCTTCGGAGCTGTGAAAAAGCAATTATGCGTAGTGGTCGAAGCTAAATAATAGCAACGAAATCGAGTGTTTACTGCGTAAGTGGTTCTAAATGTTTACTGCGTAACTCGTACTAAAAAGGTGTGAAGGCAGGGGGCCTTGGTATTTCGATTTTTCCCGTTGTGAAAATACTATTTTTTTTCAAATCTTACTCACGATTAAATAAAAAGTTTTTTTTTGGCGAATAGCTGGATGAAAGCAAGGCCACAAGAAATTATCATCGCATTGAAGCACGCTGGCAACAAACAGTCTTTGTTGCACTGCACTGTTCCTCTTTCATGCTGATATACCTCACGTTCTATAGAGTACTCGAATAATGTCAGGAGAAATCTTGTTAACATTTTTTTCGCAAGTAATCTTTCTCAACGTTACCGTCGACTGATGCAGTCGCGCATTCGCAAACCTGTGAAATCGTTTCGATTGTTAGCCATCCAAAGGGCTCATGCACAATTTCGCGTCACATTACGTGCATTGAGCTTGCCAAACGTTGACGTGTGCGGAACCATTCCTACAAAGAGCATGTTAATCAAGAACACTTAACGTATCGGTCAAGAAAATTTCAGTTGGCAGCGTGCAAACACAATGTTAACGGTTGATGCAATTCTGCTAGTGCTTGAACACACCTCTCCATATTTCTGCTGAAAAAGTGGAACCTCTGTAGCAAACACACATTAAGTTCGCAGAGCCGGCTCACTGTCAGCGCTTAATTTCGCTGCTGCAATAGTTCCGCGTATGTCGCACGTGGATAGCTTGAGAAGTATGTGGTCGGAGGGCTTACAACATGGCAGGCCTAATTAAACAAGACAATCACGATTTTTTTTGTTCGAAGTAGGCCCTTATTAAATTAACACAACCCGCCATGAGGGATCGGTCACGATCGCAGAAACCAGTCTTTTCAACAAGAAAAAAAATTCAGCCGTAATTCAGAGTCAAGCCCCACTACAAGGTTTTTGAACAAAGGGGCAGAAATGCACAGGAGTTGGAACAGTGCAAGCACCGACCGAAAGTGAATTGAATCGTGAAATGTTCTGTCATTTTTCACAGGAAAATAATGCAGAACTTCCTTATTTTCAGCGGCGGAGCGGCTTATGAGCTAGCCATGCTCGTGGAAAATCTATGGTTCTCACGCAAGCTGGAAGGCGTCGCACTGGGAGTGGCGAGACAAAAATGACAGGCTATCGACGAGCAGCACTGCTGGCGTTTCAGCGCAGCTCTGCAGATACCCTATTTACTCGAAGTAACGCGACAGCGATCGTGATGTGAGGGGTGACATTTTATTTTCGTATAGAAAGAAAAAAAAGAAAAGAAGTTTAGCAATTGAATTAATACGCGAAGACCGACATTATGTTACGAAAAATCTAAAGAAAAAACTCATATTACATTCGAGTGAATCCCACTTTTGGGTGATCGGCTGGGCGGAATGGGCCACGGATGCACAGCGTAGCGGTCAAGCGCGGCTGCCAGCATAGCATATCGTTGCTTGGTATCCACTTCGCTTAACTTTGAGAAAAGAAATCCTGGCGAAACTTCAGAGCAACATGTACGAAAGGGGCAACAGTAGATATGATAGTGCAGTAAAGTACAGCTGCCGGTACACAGCTTAGCACAAAAGAAAGAACAATTAAAGAACACCAGTGCAAGTTCCAAGAAGAAGCGACAAAATGGGCATCACTTTTGCTGCTTCAAGGAATGGAGCTGGCTAGCTTCTAATCACATTAAATTGGCACACCGCAAGACCACGAGTAGTTACGGCATAACTACGGAAGAAGAGACAAGGACAGAAAACAGACCCTTGATTGTGCTGTGATGTGCTGGCTTCTAGAATATATTATGTATTTACAACATTTTCGCTCGTAAATTTCAGTTGACATCACTCTTTTCGGTCATTGTCTCGTCTTCTGTAGTTACGCTGTAACTACTTGTAGTCGGGCACTGTGCAAATACGTTGATCCCCAATCGGAAACCAGCCCGGGTATATCTGTCAAGTTTTAATTGCGACTGCCTTCCGCTGTGGTCACAAGGAATATCCCATGTCTAGATGGCTATTTATGATACCGGGACGACCAGCTACCCATGTATAGTTTTACTAGAAACTCAAGAACAATACCAGTGTACCAGATTACGAACACCATAATGATTAGTGCAGACCTCCGCACCGCCATTCTAAACGTATGAGTTAATATTGCCTGATCCAGTATATTACAATACTATCTGAATGTCTGAAACAAAACCTAAGCAAATCAATGTTGTGGCACCTTATGAGCCGCGTACATGTGTGCTTCCTAATATTACCTTAATATCTCAACGTTTTTAAATTATTTTCGTGCCATGATTACTCTTGCTGCCACGTAAAACATGTACTAAAACAGCAGGAATAGAACTTTGTTTAGTTATGGTAAATGATTCTTGTTTCTTTCTACGATTCAGTTTGGTGGACAACAAAAAACAGAAAAAACTTTTCATAGAATTCATGCCAAGCATCAAGGTAATTCAGTCCAATGAAAAAGTATTATTTGTTCGCGGAGGCAGGTTTTCAAAAACACGCGAACCTTTTCCGACTTTTTTTCACGCTGTCGTAGCGTACAAGTCGATGTTATAAATTTAGCCGGAAAACAATGTCGCGAAAACCTCGCGCCACTTACAAGTACGTCGATAGCTTGCCGAAGCTTGAATATGGATGCCTTCAGCTCCTGCACTCGCATCTGGCGGTTGCGGTTCATGTAGTTGATGGTGACCTGCGCTGTAGCCTCGTCTCGGCCATTCTTCAGTTCAGCCGCGGTGCTAATGTCCATCAGGGACACGGGCTGGCGAGCGATGAGCTCGGCGCTCAGGTGGGAGCGACCGTGCTTCTTGATGCGGCCCTCGAGCACCACGTTGTGCCGTGCGTCGGGCGAGTACTCAAGCTCCGTCTTACCGTGGACTTCTTCTCCGCTCAGGGAACCTTCGAGGCGCATCGTGATGTCCTGAAAACAGTGAGCGATCGTTCAGTATATACGAGCTTCCCAGGATACATCTGCATCTGCATATGACGCTTATGTAAACGCTGCCGTTGTGATTGAAGCAATAATTAACAACACGGCTTATTAGAACTTTCTTTGTTCTTTGGACTCACTACTTTAGCAAATTCCGAACAGACACGGATGACAGACAGGAAAATACGACTATCTTTTAAATGCGAAGCATTTCTTAGCGAACATCGGTAACTTCGAGCGTATCTATCTATCAATGTATCTATCAATCTATTAATCAATCAATCTATTAATCAATTAATTAATCAATCAATTAATCAATTAATTAATCAATCAATTAATCAATTAATCAATTAATCAATTAATCATTAATCAATTAATCAATTAATCAATTAATCAATTAATCAATTAATCAATTAATCAATCTGTCTATCAATCAATCAATCAATCTGTCTATCTGTCTATCAATCAATCAATCAATCTGTCTATCTGTCTGTCTGTCTGTCTGTCTGTCTGTCTGTCTATCTGTCTGTCTGTCTGTCTGTCTGTCTGTCTGTCTGTCTATCTATATCTATCTATCTATCTATCTATCTATCTATCTATCTATCTATCTATCTATCTATCTATCTATCTATCTATCTATCTATCTATCTATCTATCTATCTATCTATCTATCTATCAATCTATCATCTATCTATCTATCTATCTATCTATCTATCTATCTATCTATCTATCTATCTATCTATCTATCTATCTATCTATCTATCTATCTATCTATCTATCTATCTATCTAGCCGCCTACGACTTTTAGCTCTCCTGGCCGTTTCAATAATGGTATCGATACTAAACTTGGTATGGCATAACGTGATTGTATGAAGAACTTGTTTGACTTGCCATAACATGAAAATCATAACATAAATATCATGATTTACATTTCATAATCCTGCAGCTCTTCCGATGGTTTCATTCACATGGCATGTCGCAAAACTGGTAAGATATGATATGATTACAGCGAACACAAGCGACAGACGCTAACATGAAAATCATGACATACTTGTCATGTAACAAGATGACTACATACCAACCTCATGATGCACTCGCAGGCGTTTTGCTAGCGTCACATATACCAAATTTCGTATTACGGTACGTGAATAGATGACGAAGATATGTGACTGGTGCAAACAGGATAAACATGATATGCGTGTCATATAACAACATGACTACATGCCACACTCATGATGCACTCGCATCCGTTTCGCTAGCTTTAAATGTGCCAAATTTTGTTTTACGTGACGGCAATGAATGACGCAAGTATGAGACTAGTGCAAGCATGATAATCATGATATGCGTGTTATGTGCAAACGTGATTACATCGCACAGTAAAGGCGCCACTACATTTCGACGTGACGCGGTGCGCGTGCTCACCGGCTTTCATTTCGTCGGGTAACGCCGGCGATGCCACGCCAGGCACTGGTCCTGCAATATACTCGCAGGCGAGCGCCGGGCTGCGTTGCTTTGACACATGCGCGTTTCGGCGCGTCCAGTGTCCCTCCATCACGAAAAAAGGAGACGCAGTGTTGTCATTATAACGCATCGTTGCGAAACGAACAATGTCGCATTTTGCGCCGGTTGCCGTCGGGCCGCGCCGACAGACGCCGGTCGCGCCGGTCGCGCCTGGCGTAAGACTACACAGTGCTCGAGTTTTGCTAACGTAGCGTCACTGTGCCCAGCGTGCGCGCGCGTCAACGCTAAATTGGAGTACATTGGGCCATTCATGATGCGCTCGCAGCCGTTTTGCTAGCTCCACATATACCAAATTCGGTGTTACATGACCTCAATGGATAACGAAAGTATACTACTAGTGCAAACATGATAATCCTGAAAAGCGTGTCATGTGAGAACATGGCAACATACTACGCTCACAGCGTGCTCGCTGTTGTTTCGCTAGCTTCACATATACTAAATTTCGTTTCACGTGACGTGAACAGATGATAAAGGTAAACGACACATCCAAACATGATAATCATGACACGGAAATCATGTACGGCATCATTTACCTCCACCTCGTAACGTTGTGCTGATTTTAAAGTGACGTATCAACCTTTTTCATTCGTGCTTCGCATATCATCCATTTCCACTTCACGTGGGATCTGTCAATTTTTTATCTGCTCAAGCGGCCACCTCCTCGCTTCCGAATGCCGAGGACTTGGAGGTTCAAAAATTATTAATAAACGCGAAGCATTTTTTAGCGAACTTCGGCAACATTGACCGTATCTGTCGGTCTGTCCAGCTGGCCGCCTACGACTTCAAGCTCTCCTGATTGTTTCCATGGTGGTATTTATAGCAACATTGGTAGGACATAGCATGACTGTATGATAAACATGACTGACTTGTCATAACGTGACAATCATGACATGGATGCCATGAATGTCATGATTTAAATGTCACGGTATTGCTGCTGTTGCGGTGATTTCGCTCACATGACGTATTTCAAAACTGGTATGGTAGGACGTGACTGCATAGTGAACATAAGTGACAGGCCCTAACGTGGAAATCATGACATGCATATCATGTAAGTCATGACCACATGCCAATATCATGGTGCGCTCGGGGTCGTTTCACTACCTTCTCATGTACCAAACTTGGTATTAAGTGATGTGAATGAATAACGAGCTGCAAACATGATAATCAGGACATGCCTGTCATGTGGGAACATGACTACATGCCACGCTCATGATGTGCTCGCAGCTGTGTCACTAGCTTCACATATACCAAACTAGGTATTACGTGACGCGAAAGAATGACGAGGGTAAATTAAGTGTCGAAGCATGATACTCACGACATGCGTGTCATGTAAGAACATGACAACAAACCACGCTCAATATGCGCTCGCGACCGTATCCCTAGCTTCGGATGTACCAAATTTATTGTTGTGTGACGTGAATAGACGGCGAACGCAAATGAAACGTCCAAACATGATAATCATGGCATACGAATTATGTAAAACGTGATTAGACACTACGCTCATTGCGCGCTGGTGGCGCCCTTCTTAGCCACACGTATACTGAATTCAGTATGTGACTAAAATCTTTCCTATCCGAAATATTCTAGCAATTCACTCTTTTTGTCTGATAATTCAGTGCGCTGTATTTTCAAATGCATTTGAAGTGGTCGCTAAAATGTCTAGGACCTTTTAAAATGGTAAATGCCCTACGTGGCCGGTCTACAAAGTAGTTTTACCTTGTTAAGCTTTGGGTGCTTGATAGAGGCCGACATCTTGTGTGCCCATGCAGACCTACTGCTGAGGTTTTGGTGCTCCATCGTCAAGGTCACATGTTTACTTTGGTCGCGGGCGGCGTCCCAGAATAGTTCGCAGGACAAATTGTTCAGATTCCTCCTCTGGCTCTGGCTGGCACGCACCTCAAAAGACCTTAGAGGGAAGTTCACTTTACAGGACACATCTGTGTTGATGAGGTCTCGTCGCGTACTGCGGGTACGTCTGACATCGTAGGAGAACTCTTCGCCGTGGTCTTGGCCCCATTTCAGTGACATCTGGTGGAGGAAACTGGAAGGATGGTTCTGCCAGAGCGTCTGCAGCTGAATGGTCCGACGAGCTGAGTTGAACTTAGCGCTAAGCTCTCGGCCGGAGTTGATCGGCTTGTAGCCTCCCTCCATGGCAAGTTGCAAAGCTGGCACATTAAGAGCAAGTTCGCACCTGTGGGCGCGAAGACTTTTCACATACTCGGCAGCACCGGCAACTTTGACAACCTGCTGATCATTGTAGTTAACAGTGCCATCCAGTTTGTACCGGCTAAGCTCGTACGTTGCCTGGAGAATGCGAAGCTGCGGTGCACTTGATGTTGCCATGATGCTGCCCTTCAGGTTTCTTTGGTCGTGGTCGACGTTCAAGGAGGCCTTGAAGGCTTCGAGGTTGCACTGAATGTCAGTCACCAGGCGAGAACGACTCCTTTGCTGCTGTACTTTCAAGTGTGCGGAACGGAGGCCGTCGTGAGGAGTTGCAATGCTGTTTTCGACAAAGAAGTTGAGCGATCCGTGGTAGCTGTGGGCGTGTTGTAGTTCGTACAGCTCGTTTCTCGGTCCTTTGTATGTCGCCTTGAACGTTGTTTTTCCACCTTCCCTACCACACGCCATGCCTGCCGCAATGCTCTCCAGGTTCTGAAAAGGTGTGGACAGGGCGGCCTGAAGATCGAAAGCTCCGTGTGATTTTTTTACACTGAGTGTAGTATGAATTTTTCGACGCTGTCCCCACTCATGGCTCGCACTCAAGTAGTAGTTGCCGGGGTAGAGCTGAATTTCAGCTTCGCTTGTGTACGTGATGCCAGGAAGAAGTATGCTTAGTCGAGGTGACATAGCTGTGAAGTCTTCGTTGTGTGTGCATACGAAAGTCGACTCGAAATTTGAAAGCGTTTTGGTCGGTAGGCGTCCTTGAACGGTGGCTTCTACGGACCCTTCCTGTCTCCTCACTTTGCCTGATATATCGATGTCTCGTAAGATAGGTGCCGATGACTTGATGCCAACGGACCAGTGAACCGCGCTGTTTCGTACAAAGGTGTATCTGGCATTCACGTCAGCAAAGCGTAGCGCCTCAAAAGGAGTTTCAATTTTCACGTTGCCTTCCACTGCACTCAGATCCCTTGCCGAGATGGCCACGAAGGTATTGAAGCTTCGGCGCTGTGTTGAGAAGATGAGAGAGCTCTCGATACGGCCACTGCTGAAATCACTCCTGTAGTTGAAGTTTCCAGTCAATGTCTTCGCGCTGAGCAGTGGCGACTCGATCCGGAACTGCGCATCGGTGCTTTCGGGAACCCGTTTCCAGCTTCCGGTCATTAAGTGGGTCTTCCGGCCACTCTCAAACGTGATAGAGAGGTCAGCTCCTTGCATGTTAGTTGTAATGACGCCTTCAGCTTTTAGAGTACGACCTGGCAGGTAGCTGGATTCAACGTCCATTTTACCCTTCGTTACGTGGTGGTCCCAGTTAAGTTCGGTGCTGATGGTGTTCATGTCCCTTTCGAATCCGAGGCTGAGCACACCCTTGACGCTGCCGCGGATTGGTGAAGAGAAGAGAAGGCGTGCAGCCACCGGTCCTTGCCGAACGCTAGGGCTATTCATCCTGAGTTGTGTTTCTATGCCGGAGGGCTTGTTCTCAAAGCTGCCCTCGATGACGTGTGTCTTGAGTGCATACTCGCCGGTTACCCTAAAATCTGCAAAGTAGCTAGTAGGAGAGTTTACTACATAAGTGAGGGATGCCTTGTTTCCGGGTAAGTTGGGGCACTTAATTTCAATAGAGCCTTCAAACGGGCCACGGTTTTTCATGCTCAATGCAAAGGTATGATCACGTCCATTGTGTGAAAACAGGAAGCTCCCGGTAAGAGCCTTGAAAGCCTCATTCTTTATGTTTATGTTCAGAATAGAGCTTGGCTTTTCAAAGCGAGAGTATTCAGTCTGAAGACTAGCTTCTGTTGTAGCTTTACCGTTAAATGACCTTGTTGCCCTAATTTCATATTTGGAATCAGCAGCACTCGCAGACACTAACAATCTCTCCAATTCACCGAGATTTTGGTATTCAGCAAGCATCTGTATGTCTCCAAAAACACTTTTGGGGGACTGGAGCTTGAATGTTCCCTTCAGGTCCCTAATGCCGTTCATCTTCAGGTCCCCGGATATTTTCAAAAATTTCAAGGGCTCGATAGGTGTTGCCAAATCAATGTTAATCTTATACTCTCGTTCAGTGCGGAGAATGGATCCTGTCAAAGATACTTTGTTGTTCTCTTTTTCCAGTACAATTTTCGCCCTCTTGTTGTTTTGTGTCACATCGAAGACAGTGTTTAAGCTTAAGCGACGGTATCCTTCAAAAGGAGTCGCCAGAACGACATTGCATGACAGTGGCGCCATCCATTCTGTTTGTAATGCAATGATGCTGTCCGGAGACCAGCGGAATGATATATTTCCATTGATCTTCTGGCTACCTTGCTGCAAGTTGCTTTTAAACTCAAGAAATTTCATGCTTTCTATGGGACTTCGGAACTCAAGTTTTATTGAAGGGCTTGATGCATCCAATAGGCCATTAAGTTCAAATGTCTTCTTGTCTATTTGAACTGTACCCGAAAGAGTCCTTAGGTTGGGCACAGAGCTTTCGCTTAGACTCACACGAATGTTCCTCATGGAATGAAATGAAGTGTTGATAACTAGATTTGCCTTTGTTTCACGTTCTGTTTGTGACAGTTCCGACTCGGAATTAATCGACTTTCCTTGCCATTCTGCATTGAACTTGGAGGTGATTTTGTTGGAGTGAAGGTTGTATTCGCCATAAAGTTTTTGCCTCTCGAGACCACGGATAGGTGCGATGAGTGTTAATTCAATGGCAGAGCCGAAAGGCGTGTTCTTGAGTTCAGCGGTTAGTTCGTACTTTTTAGTTTGTTGTGATGAGAATGACAACATACTGTTTATTCCTCGCCCGTTTGTGGCCATGTTTCCTGTCAACTGAATTCGCTCATAACCGCGAATGGGACTGGTAAGGGCAATGTCTATGTCTGCACTGCGTGGTCTGTGTGAACCCGTGACTGTGAGAGAGACGATGTCTTTGGGACGTGGACCCCATTGTACGGACAGCTCACCGGACTTCTGCTCGTTGGCGATGTCATACTTTGTGCTGAGCGTTACAGCTTGGACCGGCCTGATAGTACTCGTGACTGCGAGCTTTCCTTCTGCAGTAAGGTAGCTCCGTGTTCTGAGCGTACCCTCAACGGAAATGTAGTTGCTTCGGTTCCATTCCACGTTTAGTCGAGGCGCGATTTCTTGGCTGTTAGAACTGTACTTAGCATTGACATTAGCACTACCAAGGATACGCCATGGCGAATAGAGCTCAATTTTTACCTCTGCTTCATTGGCGTAGTTAGATGGTGAGGCAGACGCATCGATAATTACTGACAACCTCTTGTGGTTTTGCCATTCCATTTCGCTGCTGTGGTAAGCTGTACTCCTTTGGACACGATGCTTGTTTTTGATGTTCAGAATTGGCAGGACACTGAATGGCGTTGACACCTCAAGGCTCTGCTCAAAGTTATTGATGTCCCGAATCATCAAGTGGTGACTCATGGTAAGGGATGAGCTGCTCGATGTACATTGGAAGCTTGTGTCATAGTTGAGACCTGATCTTGCCTGCTTCAAGTCAATCGTTATCTGCTGATACTCTGCAATTGGTGTTGTAATCAGTATTTGACCCGTAATCTCGTGGCTTCCTAGACCGAATGCATAATCACCATTTGCTTCCAAAGTGAACTTCTTAGGTCCGATGGCCATGTGACCAGTTGACTTGGCATTGCGATTCGTGGCAGCGTGAGAAACCTCAATGTTAATTCGTTCGTAGTTTTGCACTGGAAGCTGCATGTGGAGAAGTAATGCAAAGTCGTGAGCGGATGTGATTTTTCCTTGGCTTCGCATGGACACTTTCTTGCTGTACGGGAGTCGCGCTGTGAAGACTGCGTTAGACGTTTCTTGGCCAGCTGAGTACGACGCGCTCGCTTCAAGGTTTTCATATCCATACAATGGACTTGTAAAGTGTATTTTGATTTCACGGGCTCTGTCGTAGCGTGACTGTATCACAGACATCATGAATCCGCCGGCAATCTTGTCTCTGTTGCGGGCAGCTTCAAAGTTGGCAATCGTCTTGCGTGCATCATTGCTGAAGCTGAGCTGCGACGTCAATTGCTCCGCGCCCTTAAACGGTGTAGCTATGTGCAGCTTGCCATCAAAGCTACCCTTCTCGCCATTCCTGTTCACCTGCCCGTCGATGTTAAGCGTAATTCTTTTGTAGCTGCTCCACTGTGCAACAGCCTGGCACTTGATGCTTTCCAGCGTGTGCACATGCTCGAGCGAAGCGGTCAGCCTTTCATACCCAGGTATGGGAGTTATGGCCTCAGCCTTCGCCTTCAGCAATCCCCGTCCGTAGGCGCCACTGGCTTCAGCGGAAAGAACCTTGTCGTCAGCCCATTGAAGTGACACCTTGTTGTTTGTGTCATAGTGGGACGCTCCATGCGCGGCTTCCAAGCTGTACTTGCTATTCGAAGGCGTCTGAAGTTTCACTGTCATTTGCGCGTTTCTGCGGACGCGATCCGACTGGTAAAGACCGTCTGTGGAAAGAGCGATAATGCGGTTTTTTGGCAACGTCATTTTAATTTCCGAGTTCCACTCTCGGCCGTTAACATTGTGCGTAATGAGGAGACCAATTTTATCAATGGAATGAAATGGTGTAGTAATCTGAGCATCAGCTTTAAGGGTGCGTTCCCTGTAGTCTGGGTTCCAGTCCAAGCTTGTAACATAAGTGATCTTCCTTCGGGGCATCCATTCGAGTTCTCCGTGACTGGTGACACGAAGCGGCACACCAAAGTCAGCTGTTCCTTCAATAGTTGTGGCGACACTTCCTCGAATGTCTTGCTTTGGGCACTTGACAGCAAAGTTAGCGTTGTAACCACTCGGAACTCGGATTACCTCAGCTTTGACGCTGGCACGCCTTGACGCGTCACGGGTGGCGTCCCATTGGCAGTCGACGTTGAATGACTTGCTCTCTCTTGTTGCAGCTAGTTCAGCATTGGCCAGTATCTCGCGATAACGACCGAGCTTCACATTGACATTGGCGGTAGTTTTTTCTGAGGCGGCATTCATGCTACCCGTCGCCGAGTAACTCTCCTGAGGCGTTCTCACACTAAGCTGAACGGTGTGACTGTATGCATTCGGAAAACGATAGTTGCCGCCCAATTCATACTTCCCGTGACTGCACTGTGATGCAGCTTTGACGCTGTAGTGTCCCCGGGACACCATCAGTGATCCGCTGGCGGTGACCGGACGCTGGTTGGGAATTCGTATTTCGGCCTCAAAGCTGGGGTTGTACTGGCGTCTCTCATTACCAGGCTTGAAGGTTCCCGAAGCCTCAATCTTCTTGTCTCTGTTCCATTGCACAAAGGCCTCACCGTGGTGCTCATCGGTAATAGTACGGCGATAGTTTGCACCTATCTTCATTTCACGACCAGGGTAGATCAGCTGGAGGTCGGCCTTGGTAGCAGGGGAAATCGATAGGTCAATGACGGTGCTGATTTGCCTCGAGGGAGCGTAAGTTATTTGCATGCGATTAAGGAGGCTGTTTGGCGTGTTCTCATGCTTCATCTCCAGCTGCCAATCAATGCGCTTCTTCGGGTACGCGAGTTTGAGCGAAAGACCAGCATTGTTGTTTGCCAGGGTACCGGTGTAGCGTGCAATCTGCTGGAGCTGAAACGACATAAACAGAAAAGCATGCTGAATTAATTTCTGTTCTTGGTGTGTGGAATACTTAATGACTGTTCAGATTTTATGTGCCAAAACGTGCTATCATTACGAGGGACGCTGTATTGGAAGAATCTGGAAAGCTTGTCCATTTGGTGTTCTTTAACGTGCACCAAAGTTCAAGTACACTAGTTGATAACTAGATTTGCCTTTGTTTCACGTTCTGTTTGTGACAGTTCCGACTCGGAATAAATACTCGGCTGCTGCATTTCCGATGATTGAAAAAATGCCCATTCCCACTGGGATTCAATACCACCACCTTCGGGTCATTATTTAAGACTATGCGCCGTGGTGAATAGGTGGCTCTAAAAGGCACTGAATTGTTCTCAATCTGGTTCGGTTTTCTTATGATATGAGCTAACTTTTGCTCTACATGCATTAGAAGGACATGCTTTGTAGTTTCGTGGCAATGAAATTCACGTATCTTCTCTGACGTTAGTGCTCGTACCATTAGCAACCTTTTGCACGAAAGTGTACTGGGCGTGCCTGGCGAGCGCACGATGTACGCACAAATATTCAGTTAACACTTCATGCCACGTCTCAATACGCTTTCTTCAAAGCGACACAGGCTTTAGGCTTTGCGTGAAATTGATTGCCACAATGCATGGGGTCTCGTAGATTTTTATCTGCACTTTATTTCATAAGTGTTCAATTAACAATAAAGTATTGATACTTTTTGTGCCAAGGGCTAGGTCGTGGATCTGGTTTTGGTCCTATATATTTGGTATACATTCATCTGGTTTTCACCATATGTCATAGGAGTAATATGCAAGGACACTGGTGTACTTAGACGAACGTGTGTGTCAGTGAAACCCAGGGTGTAAGAATAATTGCAAAGTCTGCTTTTGGGAAGCAGGCTTTAGATCAACCCTAAATGCGTCTTTGTTTAGTCTATAGTGTCAGTGCTTAGTGTCTTTGCAAGTTTAATGCTTAGCCTGCAGACCCACCTTGATGGTGTTGCCACTTTTCTTTCCGCCCTCCCCGCGCAAGATCTGGAGCGTGTTCTCAAGCTGCCCATCTGTTTTCTGGCAGTCCCACAGGAGCTCCGTGTTGAGCGCTGGGTGGAAGGTGTTCTGGAAGGAGGCCGCGCCGCTGTACTTCGCCAGCGAGCCCGACGACAGGTCGCGGAACTTGGCCGTCAGGCCGACCTTCTCGGGTCGACCACCCATCATGCTGAACTCGCCGTCCGCCTTGGTCGACCAGTTGTCGCCCGTCTGAGTGTAGCCGCTCACGGCTCCGTTGACGAAGAACGAGCGGACAGAGCCCTCGTAGCGCACACGACGCTTGTCCGTCATGTCCACGTCCACTGCGACACGATGTCGGACACTGTGAGGTTCTCTTTCTACAGATATATAATTGCCACGCATTTTGACGAAGTGAGCGTGGTCAACGAGCGTTAAAAAATGTGTGGTGCCAGGGGAAGTGTTGGAACAGCCCCGTTGTGGCTCACAGGGCTGTCGTGCTCGAAGCCGCGAGCTCGATTCCCGGCTATGACGGCTTCTTTGCCTTTGTTATGAAATGGGGCCTCATTTAACACCACAGAATGACTGCTACGTATTAGCGAACATTAATTTTCATCACCTTTGGATGCACGTCTGATTCGCAGTACATTGCAATTTTTTAATTCCGGCCCCATCGAAACGCGGCCGCCTTGGCTGGGTATTGAAGATTCGCCTTCCACCGGACAACCCACCAGATACGGGACATCATAGCCCCCGAGATCGCGCGCTGGCGGGCTTCTCTCCGGCCGACCCATTTGTACGGAAAGAGCTTATTTGATTACGGAGGTGGTCGTGGCCCACATCCGTAATAGACTGCCGCACCGTTGTCGCGACGTGTATGAGGTGAAGAAAAAAATGTATGTGCAGTTTCATAAAACCTCTTACTGATTTTGAAATGTGAGGTTCAGGTACGTGAAAGGCAAAGAGCATGCTGCGGTCTATTTATACTCAAATGCGCTTTTTTTGCTGTAGATAACCGTGTCCTACATTAGAGCACCTAGAAGTGCGATGTCTCTGCATGAGATACGCATGTGCTGGAAACTCACTGTTCTTCAAAATTTGTGGTCTGTGTACCATTGGATCGTTGGCGAAGAAGAACAAAAAAGCGAACGATCATTGGGCTGGCTACGGCGACGCTCAGGGCTCGAGCTCACCTCACCCTGCCACTGAAGATGCCTTAGTCGGAGCCGGGGTGAAATAAAGTGAAGGTAGTTTTTTTTTCTCATAGTCCTCGTGTTTTTTTAGTGGAAATTTCACATGAAAAGTCATATCAATAAAACCACAGATCGCGCATTCCAAAACGACATATTACCGACGATCTCACGACCGAAAGAGTCAGTTACTGGAACATGGTGCAAGCAAGCACGCAGGGGACCGGAGAACCTACAAAGGCCACACTTCTGTGCGCTACGCATTGCCGGGTTTATCATACCGGCATGCCGAGTAAGCATAATGTTTCGCCCATTTAGAGCGCAAGAACGTGGAAGAACTGAATGTTGTGAGACTAGATTGTTAGGAATACATAGCCCGCACCATAAATACATGCTATTTATTATATTCTTCATTCGATCGGGGTCATACAGTTTGAATAAAAAAATCTACGCAACACCACAAAGAGAAAGACGACGAGTGGGACAAGCTAAGTCATAAGGTCTGTTGTAGCTGCGTTGAAGTCGGCGACATATTCAAAGGAAGTACGCACAGACGGACAAATGAACAGAAGCACAGACGAATGCACGGACGGAATAACGAATGAACAGATGGGAGGACAATAGGACCACGCAGGGGATTTTTTTACAGCTGTGTAGCAGGTGTTGTGATACGAGTGTGGACGCCAGTACGTTGCCTAACAAGGCTGGTTCCTAAAGAGCTTTATTTTGACAGCATGAACTCAGTTCGACCAAACTTGACTGAATTTCAGAAGAACTTCTGGCAGAGTGGTTAGGAAAGACCATCGATACAGAAACTGAACTTTCGGAAGCTTCACGGCGTATTCACAGATGTCACGCCAGTTATAATAGTGATAGAAACAGCCCAAAGAATTGGTGGCGTATTTGTGTGCTTCTCTGGCAAAGGTCATCAAAAGATCTTTTGTAAGGAGAGAAATAGATTGAAATGTTTATTTGACTTTCTGCTTGAGAAGATCATTGAGCAGGGGCTGTGTGAGATATGAACGCCAGCTAGCAGGAGCTTGAAGAAATTTCTAAATGCAGAGGCACTGGTAGATGGCAGCATCGTGTAGTTTTATTGAAGTGTAGAAAACATCCGTTCTTTTCGGTCATAACTTCGCGCTGTCAGCGCTGCGTAATAAGCACTTTTAGCAATAATAAATGTCTATACATTTTAAGAATAAGTTGACGCACTACATAGTACTCACGTGTTGATGCGCCCAAATATGCGTAATGTTTGCTTTTTGATTCAATAGGTTCACTAGTATGAAGGCCACGAGGAGATCAAAATGGGTGGTCGCTTCGCAAGGGATTAAACTTTCACTCTGGAGGCTGAATTGAGTGACAGACAGACAGACAGACAGACAGACAGACAGATCAGAATTTTCACCTCCGAGTATCCCCCCAAAAAACTATTGTCTTTAAAATAGTTAACAGCTGGCACATTCAGTGCATATTGGCAACGCCTAAGTTTCCTCACTGGTTCCCAAAATGCCAGTGACGCATGCTGACAAGGTAACCGTGCCAACGGCACAGCATGAGTCCGTTACATGAAAATAAATGGTCGCGCGCACGCTGAAGGGAAAGCAGAGCCAAAACAACTCGGCCCTCGTGATCACCACTCGGCACGCACTCTTTTCTTAAATTTGCCAACGGGTCTGGCGTGACAGCTGCGCTCGACGCGCACACTGCTTCGCAATCGGCCGTGAGGTTTTCTAGTTTTCCTCTGCAAGTTCGTGTTTTCGCACCACACAAGCAAGAGACAGGAAAGAGGGTTGAGGCAGTCGCCATAAATTGACAACCGTAGTCTAGACTGAACATCAGTGGTGGTGTGACGGCTGCGCACAGACTACAATGGCGTTTTATTTCTTTATGGTTGATGGATCGATATGTGGGGTTTAACGTCCCAAAACAGTCATATGATTGTGAGCGACGCCGTAGTGAAGGGCTCCGGAAATTTCAACAACGTGGGCTTCTTTAACGTGCGCCCAAATCTGAGCACATGGGCTTACAGCATTTTCGCCTCTATCGAAAATGCAGCCGCCGCTGCCGGGATTCGGTGCCGCGACTTGCGGGTCAGGAGCCGAGTATGTTAGTCACTTCACTCTAAGGCAACATTACCCCAAAAAGGAGTAACGGAGCCCAATAGGCGCGCTATGAACGGATAGACCGTTGAAGAGCAACCACAGAGGGAAGCGTGCCGCGTGCAAACCACTTAGTCTCCAAACACGCTTCAAAGGGATGAACAACCCGGGCATTACAGGCAGTGCGACGAGCGTTGCCAAGGTCACTATCCGTCCTCCTCCTCTCCTGGCTCAGTCTTTCCCTGTATTTTACTGGCGACGGTTCACGTTGCGTCGCGCTCGGAGTGCTGGACCACGGCTGCCTCGATTGGACGATCTAGAAATTACGACGTGGTGCTCGTGTGTCCGCTTGGATGAGCAGCGCTGCTGCTTTTACGTTTCGCCGCACCCATGAAGTCTGGAACAGGTCTCAACACGTCACCGCGCCGCGCTGTATATATCTGGCTTCCAGATAGACACGACCAACGCACGACAGCAGCAGTTGGGAAAGCCAACATGGTGGCCGAGAAGACACCAGACCTATCGGATATAACTCAGTGCAGAAATCAGCGCTGGATTCCTTCGCAAGTTGGTGATCATTCTTTATTCTTCTCTGCTTGTCGTGTGTGCGATACGAATCGCGCTTGCCGGCAACGGGCTTGGTCATGTTGTATATCGAGCCCCGCCGCGGTGGTCTAGTGGCTAAGGTACTCGGCTGCTGACCCGCAGGGCGCGGGTTCGAATCCCGGCTGCGGCGGCTGCATTTCCGATGGAGGCGGAAATGTAGGCCCGTGTGCTCAGATTTGGGTGCACGTTAAAGAACCCCAGGTGGTCTAAATTTCCGGAGCCCTCCACTACGGCGTCTCTCATAATCATATAGTGGTTTTGGGACGTTAAACCCCACATATCAATCAATGTTGTATATCGCACGCACGAAATGCACCGCGAAGGTCAGCTTGGGCGTCTGAAGTTCGCCTGTGCTTTGCGACCACCTGGAAATTGGCAGCCATTGCCGTCAGCCTCCCGTACGCTCACTTAACGAGGGCTCGCCCGTCTTCGCCGCCGCATATCGGGCTGAAACCTCGTCGCTGTGTTGGGAGCCGTCGAAAACACGTTGCGGGTTCTCGTAAAGAGCTTGGTTGTAGTATGTCGCGTGCTGTAAGTGCAGCAGCACAGGCTGGCGGGGCTTTCCCTAGCGTCGGAAATCAGTGAAAATTGGTCGCCAATACAGTTGGCTTCCCCGTCAGTCGGTCGCAAGCAACTCGGCGCCGTTCATTGGCCGTGGCGGCAGACTCGCGTTTGCGCGATGCACTCGCTCGAGTTTGTGGAAAAGGGCCGAATTTCCGTCGATTTCTTCGGCGCTAGCTCCAAACCAGCTCGGCGCTGTTTATGGCGGCGGCCAAGCGTACGCTCGCTCTTCTGTTCGAAGTTCGCTGGCGGCAGACACTCCGCGTGCAGTGCCATGCTTGGTCTGTTCGCTTGCTCGCGCTGAAAGACGTCGCTCGCTTAGAAGGCGCCGACTTGTTGGCGGCACGGTGGTTCGTGGAGTTGTGCTTGCGGCCGCCGCTCCTAAGCTGTTGCGTTACGGGGATCGAAATGAGTCTTTGACGATGTGTGACATCATGGTGAAACTATTAACATGTCATATCTCACGTATGTTTTATTTCACCTTGCACGTATTTCTCATATGCATTCGCATTCATCCTCTGTTACATGCGGCTCACTATTTCACGTACTTATTGTGCAGCCGTGGGCACACACCGTGCTTGAGGCTGTGTGCGCTGGCGTCTGTGATGCCTGTCATCCATCTCTTTCAGAGCAGCATCAGAAGGAATGTGCGAGATGTGAACGTAAAGTTATTTGTGTGTCATATTTTACCGCTTGTTTTTTCTAACGTGCACGTAATTGTCATATGCGTGCATCTTCATCTTCTGTCACGTGTGTGTAACTATTTTTACTATATTATTGTACGTGCAGCCATGGGAACACAACAGGCAGAAGGCTGCAAGCGCTGGCGTCTGCAATGCCTGTCACCTATCGCTTCCGTCGGAGGAGCTCCACAAGGAGTGAACA